ACACTTGTCTCCCACTTGTCTCCCAGTAAGCTCTGGATGCTCTGAGTCACAACCTGGATCATTAAATTTCATGTTTTAGCCCTTGTACACCGTCCCATTGTAAAGTCAATGAAAGACAGAATTTTAATGCTTTCCCTTTGAATCTTGTATGTGCGTCTACATGGTGGACTACAGTTTTCTTCCTCTAGGAAATACTGCTGGCCATATTGTTCGGAGATCTCATTTTTGAACATTGCTCTGTTTGGGGTCTACTCTGGTATATTTTTTTTTCCCAAGTTTGGGTTCGAGTGGATGCGATGTTGAAGGCACAGTGCCAAGTCGCGTGGTGGCAGCCACACAAGCGACTTGAGGATGAGTGATGAGGCAAGAGCCTGAGTTAGTGAGAACACCCGAGTGACGAAGCACGAAACGCACTGATGCGGACTTCGTTCAACTTGTTTTTACTTTACAAAGTGAACAAATTTGGAATGCCGCAAATACTTTAAAAGCGTCTACGACGTTGTCCGAACTTCAATGCACTTTCTAATACAGTTATACACGCATTGTGTTTGTTTATAACGAGTTTATGGCAAGATTGGATCAAGATGGATCCCGCCACTCGAATCACCTTGATTCATTTTGTGTTCACCTTTGGGCAGAGGAATCGTGCTCACACAAACATTGTGGCTTTCGATGGCACAACAGAAACAGAACGTACTAAGAAAACAGATTTCAAGGGGGATCCATGCGAGTTTGTGTAAGTGACCAAACCATACCAAAACCAAGTGATCCACGGGCGATTATGGGAGTTCACCCAGCGAAAGTGAGGAGTTCGAACCGCCGAGGTCAGCGCAGATGAGACCGTGTCGGCTCGGAGACTCTGCGGACGATCCCGCGGTTTCCGTTTTGTTCGGCGTCCGGGATGGTTTTTGGGCTCAACACGGGTGTTTTTGGGTGCTCAAAAAAGTCGCGGTCCCCGCAATGGAGACTGGTAGGAAGAGTCTCTTTCAAGACTGCTGAAAAGAGAGGAGGAAGAGTCAGAAGAGTCTCTTCCAGTGTCTGTTTTGGGGGTCACTACAGGTGGCTACAGGTGACTTGCAGAGCCTTTGAAGCTCATGTTCAAGAATAGATTTCCACATGCAAGAGACAAGTCCGACAGGTGACGAGTGCTTCTTTCCTCTCACTTCAATCCAACAATTATATACATCCAATCACTAATTGAACACAGAATCCATCATGTTTCAGATCAGGTAGCACGGTATTCTTGCGGGTACCTCTCAATGTTTGACGCACTTCCCAATTGCTGATGCGGCCAACACCATGATTCTGGCTTTGCAGCCTTGATTATCAACTCCTCATTCTGTGATAGACAGATGTTCCACGTTCCAAGACTGTCAGTCTGGTGTCGAAATGTGCGACGGAATAGGGATAGAGAGGGATAGAGATACAGGATTCTGACGATAGACAATTCCAGTGTAAATGTGGTGAAAAAAAACAGCATCATCCACAGTACGTGACAATCAGTACGATGACCGGGGAGATGAGCTTTGAATATCGGGAAGCGAGGCTGATTTTGTATGTGTGATTCATGTTAAGCTGAGCTCGCCTGTTAGGTCATTTCCATAGCGACCCCTCCACGGTCTGGCACTTGGACCTGTGCCAAAGAGACTTCGATCAGTGTCGACCTGTGCACATGATCTGCTCGGTTTGGACTATGTTGCGATCATATCACTGTAAACCTAGAAAAGTAGACATAATTGCAAACTATTTTACACTGAACTGATTATAAAACTTGTTTGCAATTGACAGTCTCTTCCTCGGCAGTTTCCGCAGTGCTCATCGGCTCTGTGTCAGGATGCTTTGCCCAAAGATGAAGCGATGGTCGCCACTTAGCGAAGGGAAGCGAAGCGACAACATAGACCAATCAGAACCCGTAGAGCATTGACAAGTAGCGTCCTTGCTCCGTTTGTAGCGATGCCCGGGTTCCTAGTAGCTTCTTGCAGCTTGTAGTAAGGCTCCGTTCGTAGCGATGCCCTTTGTTACGTTCGTAGCTTCTTGTGGCAATAGGATCAGGACGATGATCATAGATCCTTGACCATTGACATTTGCGAAGACTTTGATTGTCAAGTCATGTCAGACGTCTCTTGGTTCCGACATAGAAGCGGATGGCCCCTGGGAGGACTTTTTTGCTCTATGATTATTGCGTCTTTGTTCACTTCCATGCCTGTTGGAGTTCGGGTGATTGTTCATCCCACAAAGTTGCAGTTGTGTTTTGCACCTTCCGAGGAAACTGGCCGTTCTGCTCCGGTCTCAAGCTCAATCTGCTCTCAAAGAGGGCCTTGTTGGACTATGGAGTCGTTGGTTGTGGACCCATTCGTGACTCCACGAGGCTGAGCAACTCAGAAGCGCTCAAAGCACTGCCCCTTCTGCAGTACCTTGGCTGAAGGGCGGAAGCGACATGTGGCGCGGTGGAGTGCTTGCGAAGCCAGAGCAAGGTCACAGATCGTCAAGTCGCTTTTGGATTTGCTGGCTTACCTCGCTTTGGAACCTCGCCAGGTGGTCTTGGAGTGTGTGGCGCACCAAGCGGTTGCGCTCCCAAGTGCATCCCTTGAGCCAGGATCCCAGAAGCCTGTTTTGTCATGTTTTGTCCAGCTGAAGCAGCTGCAATGGCTTGGGCTGATGGGTCTATGCAGGCACATCGATCTAGGTATAACTCAGGATCGGCATGCCCACAATCAGTGGGTTTCAGTGTACGTTCCCTCTAGTTGGATTATCCAGGTATAGTCTAGTAAGTTGCGGAGATCACTGAATTGGAGGCAAAAGTTTGAGTTTTGAGAGGATGCTTTTTAGTGGCTTACAGTGTGCTGTTTGCATGGCAATGTGTAAGCACTAAGGATGGTGGTGGCTGATGCTGGCAACGTCCAAGCTCAGGATGTGTCCTTCAGAATCCTTTAAAACATCACCAGCCATGAGTTCTACGTTAAGCCTTCCAATCATCCATCTGGCCTGGCGACAAGAAAGCTCAGGAAGACTCTTCCAAGCGAATATTTTTGCGACAATCAAGTCTCCAGTTCGAGACGTATGAGCTGTCTCGCTGGGGATGCATCTAAATTCATCGAACATTTCACAGACCTTGACATCTGGTCGGCGAAACAACTACAAGTGGGTCAAGACTCAAGAACCACATTCCCTTCCATGCCCACAACTGCACTACATCGATAGCACACATGCGGTTGACCAACTCCTGTGAGTGCTATTGCAGGACCCATGTGCTGCGGCAAGACTTCCGACGCCTTCGTCAGGGCCTAAGTGTCCGGGGGGGCTATTAATTAAGACTCTACATTCTACATTAAAGAATTATATGGAATTCAAACATGCACGGTGACGTGCCCCATACTTTGCTGATCTTGGTTGTCAGGACCGAGCTTGAAACGTATGCTGTGGTGATACAGGGGTTGCTAGTGTTATGGATCAGACGCCGCTGGCCGTACAGGGTGCCCGGACATGGTTTTGAGGTGAACATGAACGTGCAGGAGGGAACCTGAACACAGAGTGGGTGTGATCTCTGCCATTTTATCGTTGTCATTCATTATGTATCTATCTTCAGGCACCACCCTTTATGAGGCCAAATATGTGGTGGCAAAAAACACATTCCACACACTTCCATTGTTCAATAATAGAACTGTAGTAGTAGTAGTAGTAGTAGTAGTAGTAGTAGTAGTAGTAGTAGTATCTTTCGCTGAAAAAGGAACAAGGCACTGGTTTCCTTTTTTCTACAAGTTCAATACTCGTGTTGTCCTTTGTCATCTCCGTTTTCGTCTCCATCAGGCCGTGGTCTCAAGGCCTGGTACCACGCGGTGGCACTGTCCATCAAAGAGGCCCGTTTGGATGGCCCTTTGGGGGTTTGACGCACAGCGCACGTGGAACAGCACCTGCTTTGCTTGTTGGGCTGCTGATCTTTCTTTATCCCAGAAACTACTACTTTTTTTTTACATCGGAGAACCCTTGCATGTGGACGTGGCCAAATTCAGGCTCCTTCCTGCTGAAAAGATGAACCTGAATGGTTGTTCGGTTGTTCGGTGCTTGGAACATAACCGAAAAGGGTCAATTTGCAACCGTCATAAATCTACCTAAGGTCCTAAGGTCCTAAGGTCACCACCAAGGAAGAGCCTCTCACACATTCCATCGTTTTCATCATTTTCCCCACATCCGGAAGATTAAATTCAGATGGAACTTTATAAATTCTAAATGCTTTGCATGTTGAACATCAACGAAGAACTGATGAGGCGGTGCAACATGCACAAGAAGAACTCACGACGTGCAAGGCCCTCTTTCGTGTCCGGGAGCCTATTGCATCACATCACGCTTTCGAGTCCATCAAGCATCACTTGTGGAGTCATGGGGAACCTATTTGTCTGGTCTGGTCTGTTGAGAGTTGTTGATTTTGCATCAAATCTAACTTCGAGTGGTTTCACGCGTAGGGCCGTAGGGCCTTAGGGTTGCACATATTTCACAGGTGTTCAAGCCCCGTCGTAGGAGAACTCTCCAACTCGATGCACTTGTTCGTGGTCGTGCAGCAAATTCCTGATAAACATGCAACATCTTTTCAGAATGAGTGAACAAAACATATTGCACATCCATACAGGCAAGATCTTTTAGACAAGAATGGATGTAATCATCGATAATGATTCCGTCATGGCCATGTTCACACTGCTGGTCATTCACCTAGACATGGGACGGTCCCCATCTCTCCAGTGGTTTGATCTGTGTAATCCACAGGTGGAGAGTAGATGGCACAATCCCCAAGTTGGGTGGTTTAGATGGATCCCATTGGATCCCCATCTCAAAAAAATCACTAGGGGTGCCAGTGCCATCGACTCTGAACACTTACAGTATATATATATATAGCATTATATAGCCTAGTTACTAGTACGTAGCTTCTTGTTACTTACTAGTAGCGATGCCCTTGTTACTAGTAGCGATGCCCTTGTTACTAGTAGCTTCCGGCTGCTAGTAGCGATGCACTTGCTACTAGTAGCTTCCGGCTACTAGTAGCGATGCACTTGCTACTAGTAGCTTCTAGCTAATCTGCAGATCATCCGCTGCCTCGCCACGTTCTCAGTGTCTCCAGGACTTAGCGGCGGACAAGGCCGGGCGGCCGGTCGACGGTCGGACGGATCCAGACGACACAGGCCCCACCGTTCTTTGAAATCTTCCCGTTTGTTCTATTTATTTTTTTAAACTTAGAATTTGTTTGGAGAGCAATTTTTCTGGATGAGGACTTGTTTTTTCCAGGGGCAGAAAGGAGCTCCCAAGCATTGGGATGTGTTTTGCGCTCTAGTTACTAGTTCTGCACATCAAATGTATATAAAACTGCCTCAGAACAAATCTGTTTGTTGATTTTGTTGTATTGTATGCAGTAAATAAATGCAGTGCATTCAACAGTGAACAGCCAAAAGGGGATTGCCGCATCGCCCAAAGAGGGGCACAGGGATATCTCACTGCGCCTTTCTTGCTAAACCCTGCGAGGTCTTGCGTGAGGGCGTATGGGAACAATCGGAAGCTCCGTGGGAATCTTACACAAAGGAGTGACTTCAAAACGGACAATCGAACCGAGCGAGGCGAGGCTAACGTGGAAGATTGTGGTTTCGCTTTGACAACCAGTGGAGAACACCGAGAAAAGTGCTGGGCTTGCTAGAGTTTGTTGCTTGGCTTGTTCTCAATGGCAAAGACACACATTTGTTTTGACGTGTTGGCGTAATCCTGAAGTTAAAGTAGTTGTCTCATGCTGCTGCTAGGCTCAGAAGTTCCCTCAATTGTCTTTGCTGTCTGCAAGGTGTAAGACCAGCAAAGATCTCGTGCCAGTCCTAGAGTTCAGGATGCATAGAAGCCATTCTTTGTTTCCCCTGGACCGGTGAAAGCAGGAACTCTTTTCGTTTTGTCATTTTTCATAATCCTTGTTATTTTTTGTATTTGTTCGGCAAGCATTTTCCTTTGTTGCAGCACCAGACTGTACTGTACCAGACTATTTCGCTACCTGTTGCTTTTGTGGATCATGAGTTGCTTCAGTTGAACCGTTGCTTGCTTCACTTTGGCGCAATGGACGGCAAGCGGGCTATGGCTGCTGCTGCGCCACGACTGCACATGGGGAGACCTCCGCACGCGATGGTGCCGCGTACCGGTTTGTGAATCACCACGGACTGGCACGGTCTGAAAACGAGCACTCGAAATTGAACCGAGCCGTGTTCGTCCAATAGCCGAAGGTTCGTCCAGCTTTATGACACCAAGGTTGTCTAGGCAAGGACACGTCTGACGCTTATGGCACGTTTTCTGGCACTCAGGCAGTGTCTGCATGCGCAGTGTATGGAAGCAGCAGGCGAGTGGATGATAAAGAACTTGACCCATGGACGTGACTTGCGACACTTGCAGGCATTGTTCTTTCCCAGATTGTGGCTGAACACATTATGTTCAAACCCGTTTGGCCAGTGATCCTCAAGTCTTAAGTCCCCCTTTTCCCTACTTGACGGGCTTTGTGAGGCCAAGTACATGGCGGGTAGGTCAGGACTCACGCCGTTTCCAGGTGTTTTGTCGTTGGACCCACTGGCGTCCTCAGCGGTGCCAGCTCAAGCCCATCTGGGCGTGACTGGGCGCTTCAAGTGGCAAGGGGGCATGAAATGGCATGAAGTGACTCTTTGCGATGCACCAAATGATCAGGGCTCGAATCTTTGGAAGTCAAATCCTTCAACATGTGAAGCTTTGAAGCATAGAGATTGCCACTGAACACATCAAACGCGTCATGCCATCCACATGCGAGACCCCTTTTCTTTGAGCCACTCAGGTCCTCAGCTCCACCGCTCTGCCCGCTCTGCCTCCGCACAGCGCTCGGGCGAGTCCCACAGCCGCCTCCGTTCGGTGGCCGTGCCGGCAGCGGTGGCGCTGGGCGCTGGGCTGCGACCGCGGAAGAGTCGTCAGTGGCTGGGTGCAGGGGGAGGAAATGGCCCGCGAAGGGAGCCAACGTCTTCAAGGTTGTGGAGGATGCATGCATTTCAACGAAGAGTGACTATATGTAAATAAGATTATATAAGTATATAATTAATGTAAGCACAATGAGCACAATGGTTCTCCTTTTGACAAGGGACAGCGACAGAGTTAGACACGGCCACGCCTTCCCCCGCAGACACCGACACCCCAGCACCATCTATTCACGTCCATTCATGTGCGATGTGCTGATACTCCGCATCCAAGGGCTCGGATCGTGCGATGTGCTGATGGCTTGGCGGACTGTCCCTATGTATTGTATGGCAGCTTTGGTCTCAAAAAGACATGTGAACTTCACAACAGAGGAGGTGTGCAGGGAGATGAAGGGGTGTCAGACCAACCGTTGTTCTGGAAGCGAGAAGGAACACATACCTGGACAGTCTGGACATATGGCAGTGGGTCAAAATGATTCAACATCCCACAGCGTGGTGGATGAACAGCCCACAACAAGGTTTTGACCCACCATGGGGGGTGGGGTTCCGGAAATCCGCGTTCCAAGACACACACACACACATACACACCATAGCAGTCCACCCACCTGGGGCTTCGCTCGCGGATGCCTTTAAGGCAACAAAGATATTGACGTCGAAGGTGAGCGGAAGAAATTGGAGGCCTTGGAGTTAGTTGATGTGTTGAGTTCACTCGAAAGGCGAGCAACCCAACCCACCAGCCATCCGGATAGGAGGAGATGTTGGATTTTTTTGACTTGCCTGGTGTGGATGGACATTGTGGGTTTTCAGCAGTTTTCCTCCAACCAACACTCGAGAGTGGAGGTGAAAGCCTGTCCTCTGGAAGTCCGCATGCCAGCCGAGCTGAAGGGAGACTTGGAAGTAGCTTGGCTCACGCCTTCGGCTTCTAAATGCAGCCAGTAAGACGTAAGACAGCTTCCAAGAGAGGTTGAAGAACCCCATAGACTATCCCATAGGTACCCCAATTAGGTCCTATAAGGTCACTTAACCTCTCTTGGTTGGCAGCAAAGCAAGAGCTGAGGGACAGCGCCAATACTTCTCCTCAAAGCTGCCGCAGATCTACAAGGACCAACCCAATCAGATGAGTTTTTTCCTCTGTGAGCAAGGTTTTGGGATGGTTTTGGGTGCTCACAAGGAGTCATTAATGCAGATAGGTCTTAGAAGTCAGATACTGTAACAGGTAACATATTTTAAGGAGGAACGCACAGCACCTGTGAAACGCAGAAGAAGGAGAAGAAGAAGAAGCTGAATCTGAATCTGAATCAGGATCAGAAGAAAGAAGAATATCATAGTCATAGTACCAGTGATTCTCTGATCAGTGCTCACTCCGATTTCATGACATGTCGTTCAGTAAAGCAATGGCCGAACGAACAGGATCTGAAGGAGTATGGCGCCATTGTCTTCCGGGGCTTCGACATCTCCAAGGATAAGGAGACCTTTGGGCAGGTGCCCAAGTCGGGTTCCGTCCAGCATGGCAGAGAAGCCCACCGAAGCTCCGAACGAAGTGGGGGGCTGACTGCCATGCAACGTGAATGTGGCCGAGTGAAGAAGATATTAAAAAGACCTTGAAAGACCCACCTTCCATGCTTTTTGAAGAGCTCCCAACTAGTCCTTCCATTTAGCTTAATTATTAGTTGCTTTCAGCATAGGATCATGCCAATCGCCGCTTTGCCAGCTCCTCCCTGGTTCAGGTTGGCCAAGCCTTGGAATTGGAAAACTGCGAGGAGCTGCGGCACCGATGTGTCTTTCTTTATGCTGAAAAAGGATGATAAAGGATCCTCCAAGGGCGGAACAGTGCATGGCGTCCAAACTTGAAAATCTTCCAACAACCTCTGTGTTCATGTTTCAGAGAGGATCATTCCTACAAGTCTGAAGCCTTTGGAGCCTTCTCTTCGCCCGCAGATCCGTGCCAAAATCCGTACCAAACCGCTCGCCACTGGCGCTCGCAGGACCCGCTTCATTCCGTGGCGGCGCGCGATGCCGTGGACAAGAAAGCCGGGGTCTACGAAGCTGTGAACAAGCCGCCGGGGGGCTGAGAAGGATGTGGTGTTCTCGATGTGAGCCGCCTGGGTCGGTTTCTATGCATAGCCCTACTCCCAGCACATCCAAGTGCAGCAAGGGCCCAAAAACAGTTCAAGAGTTTGAAAGGTGAACCGTAAGACTTGCTGTGTGTAGCGACCGGGAAATCCTGAAGAGCGATGCCAGGACATGATATTTCCAACAAGTTGCCGGCCTGTTTTGGCACAAAGCTGTTCAGGAATCTTAGGAGCAGAATGGCTAGAAAGAGGCAGCTTGCCCACTTCTGTTCCAGGAATGTGCTAATTCCCACTGATATTTTGACACATTTTTTGTGACAAAATATTTTTTGGAGCGATACTCAAACTGATACCAAATGATACCTGGAGCGATAGCTGAGAAGTCCACTCACGCTACTAGCGGTCAGCTTTTCCTCATGCCGCGTAGCAAAGAGCTTGTCGAAGGCCTTCGCAATTGTTGAAACAATGACAATGGCTTACATGTGGGAGCTTCTAAGAGGAAGCACAAAGAATCCTCAGGGTTGAGAGAGATTGTCGGGTTGTTTGCTTTTGATTGGGACTGTCTGGGGTGTGGGGGAACCTTGAAGAGTGATGCCATGGCAGAATGACCAGCATGTTTTGACCGCCGCACATATGAATATGTGATGGATCTAGGAATAAAGCAGGATTCTTTCTCGTACACCTAGTTTGCAGGCGCTGTGCCGTGGCAAATGTTTACAGAGAGGGTCCATGGCAAAAGTTGCTTGTGGACATACTGCTGCTCAACCAGTCCACCTGCGAGACAAGCTGACACCAAGGTCCCGAAGCAAGTTCTACATTGGTATGCACAATGAGCAGCTTGGGCAGCACTTTCAAGCCGACCGTGTGGCGTCACCAAAAAATTATGGCCAAGTAAAGATGCTACAGATCCTGCAAACTCATATTCTGTGCGGTGTTTAGTCGCATCGGGTGGTTGAGAGAAACCTTGAGAACATCATAAGAATCTGACCTTCACATCCATGGCCATGGTACGGTTCGCATTGGTTGCTTATGAAACCAAGGCTTGGAGGATAGGCGAATAAGTCAAGGTTCTTGAGAGTAAGGCTGAAAATCGGCAGACTTCGAAGCGAGACCTCAGGATGGTGGGAAACCGAGCTCCAGGAGCTGCGCTCTTCGTTTGCTTCAAGGCGCGATGCGGAACTGCTTCTCGCATGGGTGTGCCTGACAGTGAAGCCGACTGTGAGCTTCGAGGGGATGACAGATATGACGACATGTTGTACTGTGGTTTGATGGAAAAGATATTACTGTATATTTATGTATTTATATATAGATGCTGTTGGGGTTGAGATGCAGCCATGTCAGGCCGCCGAGAAGGGTGGCGAGTTTTTGGTGGCCGATGGCCGCAAGCTGCTTGGCGCTCTGTGCGGCCACAGTTGAAGTGCTGAGCACATTGAATCCCAAGAAACTGGACAGGATGACAGGATGTTCAAGGATCGGACTCCCTTGGGTTAATCCCTTTATTTAGTTGCTATTGGTTATACAACATATTCCTTTCGGCTTACTTGATTTTGTACTAAGGATGTTCAAAAAGCTGGACCAGGCCAGGGAACATCGGAAATGCAACGGCCAGGGAACATGGGAAATGTGTCTATTGCCAACGTTCCAAAGAAACAGGGCTCTTTTTTGCCGCACATGAAGCGTACTTCACGAGGATCATTTGGATCGTTTAAGATTCGGAATTCCAAAGGATCTAAAGGGTTCAGTGAGCAATTTCAACTGCTTTTGAAACCTTCCAGGACTGGCTCAGCAAAGTCTACAACCGAGATCCTCGTCTGAAGAAGGGGCTGAATGTTGGATTCATAAGGTTTTTGGAATCTTCAGAATGCATAATGATTACCACAACGATTGCACTGAGCACTGCAGTCTGGGAATGTATTCTGGGGATTCTCTACCATGCGGCAAGCACTGAACCCGAGTTTTTGGGAAGCAGAAGTGTGATTGAACACCCTGTAAACATTCAAAGCCGAGCTAATCTCCAATTGAAATCCTACGACTCCTGTGATGAACTGTGATTCCGTGGGTCTGGGCGCATTGAAGGACGTGGTCTATTCCACGGCTGAGTTCCCGATGGGCTTCATTGAGCGTCTTGGATGGTAGAAACTGATCCACCACACGTTCCATTTGTTTGTAGGACACCAATCTCTGCTCAGAGCCGTGAGACCCCAGCACGCAGAGATTCTGACTTCTAAGGGGCCTTCCGGATTTTGTGAAGCCAGCGGTCGAGCCCATGGTCTATGGAGCCATGACACAGGCTCATTTGCGGCTGGATTGGTGGTCTGTGGACTTGTCACGACTGGTTGGATTCATTGTGGCTTTGTGGGGGAGAGGAGTGCTCGGGGTGTCAAGAACTCGCGTGTGCTAAAAGGGCCGACGTAGATTGGCCACGGATGGAAGGCCAAAACATGTACCTGGCAATGAACCCGATGCGCCCTTCCAGCTCCTTTCTCCGCCAGGCTTTGAAGATGAAGGCCGCTTGGCAGCCACGTTTGTCCTTCACCCTCTGGTTGAACACTTTCGACCAACACCGACTTCAAGGGAGATGCGTGGGGAACGTGTGATGCGTCGTTCACCCCACGGCCGACTCGGTCGATTGGACGGACCAACGACCGGCCCTTGGACCGGCGCGACCACGGTGGGACACGGAGTGCCTCAGGTGGACTTTCAGACGGAGTTGCGATGGGAGAAGTCGGACTATGACGGTAGCAAGATCCTGCAGGCATCGAACAGAATCACAGGAGTGCAGTTTCCGATCTTGAAGGGGTCTTTTTTATTGTTTTTTCAATCTTTTTTCCCCAGTTTCTTGCCAACTTGTGCCAAAGTGAGAGAGTGAACCCACAAAGATTTGCTTCAAACATCCTCAGACAGGTCTGGTTTCCAAATGTGAGTGGTTTTCACTCACAAAAACACCTTGTCTGGTGACCCATGGACCGGTCACACCATGCTGGCATGAGTATGGACCATGACGGACCAAAACTGCAAGTAGTTTTTCTTTTTTGTCAAGAGAGTCGAGAGGCAGTGTGTCCTTGTGACTCCAACACAAGTGCCCTTTTGCACGCAGGAGCTTCGGGGCGTAGATTTTTGAGCAACAAACCTTTCTCATGGTGGTCAGGTTCGTGCCATGCCGCAATATCCGATTGTTCGACACCATGCAACTGGAGAACCTTGCTGGTGGGGGTCCATGCACTCGCATGCTGACGCTGGGCTGCACAGGTTGCTTTTCTCATGACAGTGGTGACTTTGTACCTTGTAGATCCTTGTAGCACTTTGGAGGTGCCAGCAACAAAAAAGAGAAGATTTGAAAGCCCACGGACAGAAATGGCGATCCCAGGTGTTTTGTGTTGGTTGCTTCTGACTCTTGGCTCCTCTTGCTGAAGTGCCTGAGGAGCATCTCCGCCGAGAGCGGGAGAAGGTGTTCGGAGAAGCACAGGAGGGTGGAGGGGAAACGGCTCGATGCTCTCGATTTGGAGGGGACACTTTAAGCGTTTTGTTTTTTGCTTTTTCCTTTGAGACAAACAGCCCAAGTGACTGGTGCTGAATCACTGGTTTGCTCCTCTTTTGCATGTATCCTCAAGCCATTGAGGAGAATGACATTAGATTGTTCAGAAGGCATTGTAAGAAGAACATCGAAGGCTACCTGTTTCACACTGCACATTGAAATTCAACTCTACAACATTCCAACATTTGAAGACTTCCTGATTCGTTTCCAGGAGACAACTGGTGCGCTGCAATCTCAGCTCGTCTTTTTTCTTCATGGAGTTGCTGTCTCAAAGCGCTCAACCACATGATACACAATGACCCTCTTGGAAGTGACCTTGGAAGTGACCCTCCTAGGTCGAGAATCAACAAAACAGACGTCTTCTATGGTGATGATGGAGAGAAGATTGAGGCTCGGTGTCGTCACGACTTGATGCTCCTTTTCTCCAGATCTATATATATATATATAGATCCAGAAAGGTGATTCGTGCCACTTCACAATCGTGGCTTTAATATATCAACAAGCTTGAATTGAAGCAAAGTGGAGAGATGAAGAGCACTCCCTAAAGTAGAGACACCTCTAAGATCCTGCCAATACTTCCTCACCTGGCACCGCTGCGTTCCGACCATCTCCCTTAGCTCCTCCGTTTTCGTATATATGCCCGCTGCTCCTTCCCAGACGGAGTGGCTGGAACACCTGGACAAAGTGACTCTGGAGTGTGCCGAGAAAGTGAAGATGGAGCCCGCACCTGAGCCACGCGCAGCGATTCCCTGGACGGGACGGCCCTGGGAGTCTGGGCGTCTGGGCGTCGGGTGTCGGCGGTGAGAAGCGATGTCCGGGCAGCGGCAGCGAAAATGGGATGAGAACTACGAGCTGGGTAGTCGGGGTTGAGCCAGGGCAAAAGAGAACGGATCCTGCAACATGCTATGAACATAATATATATATATATAGTATAAATTATATGTCACGAAAGCCAGCCGATAGGCTAGCGAAGTGAGTTAAAGGGGGTGTGGGGGGGGAGTTGTCGCGAGGCGCCCAATTTCGGAGAGGTGAACCCAGAGCCTGGTGGGGGAGAGCGAAAAATAGGGGAGGCCCGGAGGTAGTGAAAAATGAGTTGTTTTAGGGGTTTTGTGATGTGATGTAATTGGCGGCGAAGAGTGCATCATCAGCATCATGAGGGGCGCAGGAGACCATGGAAAGAGAACATTGTAGTTGAGAGGGAAGAGAGATTGCAGCGGGCAAGCGTTGGAGGCGGACGGCTTTGAGTTGCTTAGGGGTGCCCTTTTAATCTGTGGCAAGGCCTAGCTACTGGACTCAAAAGGGCACCCCATACGGGATGCATGATGCCATCTGTTGAGGGCCTGCGAGAGAACCGCACTGAAGAGGGCACTCCCTATGCGGTGGGAGTTCACGTGGATTGGGGGGTTGTTGAGGGCCCCCCACGGCCGTCTTTGGTCACTGATTAGCAACACGCAGCCGGCAAACTCACATAAAATATTTGAGGGCGCCTTTTTCATTTCCAAAACACTCCTGAGCCAGGACGAAAAAGGGCACCCCCTTTTAATTCTACCTTCTGTTTCTACCTCCTATCGCGCACCTGCGATGCCAACTTCACCCCATAAACGTATTCTTTACGCAATGTTAGCCTCTCACTTCATCTTGCGCACTCAAGTCGCTCCAATATTAACCTCACCACTTCCGGCTACTCTTTGTCCACCCTAGCTATATACATATATGTATCCTCACCTACCCCACCCATAGCCTCGCACATGGACCCCCACAGCCGTTTTTGCTCACTGATTCGCAACGCGCCTCACTTCCTTAGGGGCGCCCTTTTTCACCTCCAAACGCCTCTGAACCGGGACGAAAAAGGGCACCCGCCCCCAAACCTACGTATTCTATTTTCATATATTTTCTATTTCTGCCCCCTATCTGTGCGATGTCAACTTCACCCCATGAAAGTACTCTTTGCCCGATGTTGCCCAATCACTTCATCTTGCACGCCAAGTCTTTGCCCAGGCTTGCCCTGAGGGCACCCCCTAACCCAGAGGCTGGCTTTCGTCTCCTCCCTTCTCCGGTATATATACATTTCGGGTTGGCTGCTTTCTATGAAAGATAGTAATCCAGTGTCACCTATGCATTGAGCCTTTTGCGTTGCCACCCCAAACCACAATTAATTTTCGACCCGACACAAGCCGACGCAGCCGAGGCCGGGAGATATGGTTCTCCTGGACAATTACCTGGTGATGCACGGCCGATGCCCTTTTGAAGGCACCCGGCTACATGCAGTCTCCTGGTTCAAGAGCCGGGTCACCCAGTTTGGGCATCGCAGCTTTGCCGCTTGATGAGTGAAGCGACCCGATTTGCGTGATGTCTTGAAAAGGACAAACGTTAATTATATAGATTTGCAAAGTTTGTTCAATTCATAGATTTTGATCAGATACCAAGTGAGTGAAGCAGTCCTGGGTATTGAATCTTCGAGGTCCAGACTACTCCAAGGCTGCAGCCTGATGAAACGGTGGAAGTGCGAAGGCTGCGACTTAACAGCTGAGTTTGCAAAGCAAGCGACAGCTGGGTAGTTCGTGTGGCAGCAACCATGCGGCTTTCGACCAAGTTTTGGAGTGCCAGACACGGGTTCCACCAGGCCTGGCACAGCTTCATTGGTTAGTCTCAGTAGTCTTTTTAAGTGACGCAGCCTTCATGAGGCAATTTCAGCAGTTGTGAAACTGGATGTCAGTGGAGTCATTCCCCTGGGGGTGGCAGACGTTCACTGAGTTCTGACTGAACAGCTGTACAAACAATGCCTTCTCGTGAAGGCGTTCAAAGGAACGTGTTTTTTGGCAATTGGAAAAACTGTGACCTGCTGGCTTTGTTCGGCTTTGTTTATACCTACAAATCCTACCATCGTTTTGCGCATTACAGGATGGTCCTTGACACAAGACGTCGAAGCTGTCTATTTCTTTTTTTTGGGAGCTGAGTGAGAGGGCTAGACTGCTGAATCAATTTCAAAGGAACCCTGAAGTGCGGGCAATATTCACTGGCCCCCAAGGTGCCAGCTCGATCAGCTGATGTGTGGGACCTGGACGCTAACATGCTAGCACTGTAGGCACCCAGCTCAGGCAGTCCTGGGGTTCACAGGGAAAAAAAAAGCGACTGCGGTTCTTGTTCACCTTTGTGAGTCAGACTCCACTGGAAGATCCTGGAAGTCAATTTTTGGAAAATGTCCTGAACATTCACATGCAATGTAGTAAACAAGGACGCTACTACGTGGAGGCCATGGCTATTGTGGTTGGAGGCCATCGCTACTAGTAACAAGAAGCTAATAGTAACAAAGGGCATCGCTACGAACGGAGCAAGAAGAAACGAACGTAGCTCCTGGCCATACTACTAGTAACAAGAAGCTACTAGGGAGAAGAATACATTCACTTCTAGTTCCATGGCATTCCATGTCGTCCTTTCTTGGGGCTTGCGGGATCTGAGGTGGATTTGCTCCTTTGGGCCTTCAGCAGCTGGGTCGTTCGGCACCCATGAACTTTGGGAGAAGGCTGTGATGCGAACCTCAACGAACACATGTACTCGGAGATCTAAGATCCTGTCGAATCCTCACATCAAGCAGGAACCAATGAACCAAGGAACTCGTCGGATCCTAATGATTCTGCGAATAGCATCAGACAAGGGGGTCACCCTGCTGGATTTGTCAAACATCAATAGACCTCATTGGTTGTCAACAGGCCAGAAGTTCCCCTCCGGGGTCCAAAGACCACCTCTTTGAACATTGCCACAATCATTGGAGCCCATCGCTTGTAGGTTGGAGGCCATTACAATTAGGTTCAATTGCTATTAGGCTGGAGACCCTGTGTTCTGGATTTCCAAACCTTAGGTTTGGGCACGTCTGGCGACAGGCTGAGACAGCTGGTGCGGATCATTGGAAGAGATGACTAGCATTTTTGGAAGCATCCAACAAAGTCGCCACCTTCTTTCGGATGCTCTGTCATTCCAAGATCCGCGCCGTTTCCAGATCATTGGGTGGTGAGGGGTGGACAATTGTGAAAACCCAGCCTGCATCAGCTTGCGAAACTAGCTGCCTGCGCGAACCTGGCCGAGAACCTGGGCCGTAGCTGTAGCTGAGATGACAAGAGGGAACCTGGAAGAGGCATCTCAGCCTGCCCTATGGCCCTATGGATCCAACATACCCCGAGCAGAGAATTGATGTGATCGACACTTTTTGATGTAGGCCTGGAGGGTCCAGAAGATGTTTTTATGAGAAGATACATGTGAATCGGTGGCAGTGGATCTGCCATAATGTTGTTCGGTCCAGATTGTGTTGCTTTTCATTTTCGCGTTGCCACCCCCTCCCTGTACAAAATGTGGGGCCCAGTCTCACCAGTCCACTCCACATGCGTCGGAAAGTTGAAATGGCCAGCTAACCACGGAGAACTCAGGGTTTTGAAGTGAAGCAGCTAGCAGCAGCTAGCAGCTAGGAGTTAGAGCTCTTGGACATTTGGTTTAATGACAGCCCAGAATGTTCCAGAAAACACCTGTCGCCTGTCACCTGTCCGACCAGGGAAAGAGGCTTGTGATAATCATGCCAAGCACCAAAGTCATGTGCGCCAGAGAGCCGGAGTGCCTTTCAGGGAAAAGACACCTGAGAGCCTTGCGCTGGACTGACTCAATCGCACGAAAGGAAGCAAGACGGAAGCAACACCTACCCCTTTGCTGGTTGACTTAGATACTTTTTTTGTGCGGTGTTTTCTGGAGTGTTATTGAGATTAGTATAGGGCTGCACATGTGTTTGACACAGCAGTTGCTGGACTTGATGAAGTTTGAGAAAAGTTGCGTTGCATGGTGAAAAGTGGGAAGTGCGGGCGACCTAACCCACTTCACTGCTGAGCTGGGACTTGGACACTTTGGACACTATTAGGGGCTCCTGGCATCGCTACTAGGAGCGAGAACGCTACTAGGGGCTCCTGGCTGTACTACTAGGAGCAAGTAGCTACTAGTAACCAGAAGCTACTAGGACACTTTGGACAGTTTGGACACTGGAGAGTATCCAGGTCTTGACCACCCTTCAGCGATGGTGACAGTCCAGGAGGATACGCTGTCGCCCGGAGGATCTGCCGTTGGATGACAGTCTTTGCACATTGCTGTGAAGAAGGGTCACTTGGACATGGTGCGGCAGCAGTGCTTGAACGGCTGAGGAAGACAATGATGACCATGGCTCCATGGCTTTGCATTTTTGCTGCCCCCCACACATCTTGCCTTTAGATGCTTTCAGTTTGAGGTTGGGGAGAAGTGCAGTCGTTGGTTGTTCGGCTGGAGCAGACAAAGATGAGGAAGACAGCTTGTGATTTCCGCCGACCAAAATGCCGAAATCGTAGACGGGACAAGCTCTTTGTGCATTGCTGCTGGGAAGGGCCGCCTTGAAATGGTTCAAGAATGAGAACAGTTTCAATAATGGAGCATTCGTGAGACCAACTACGTGTGTTGAGAAATACTATATAGTCTAAACCATCGGAGGTGAGAATTGTGACACGGACTCATTTCTTGGCTGGCTCTTGCTCTTCAATCCACCTTTCGCTTGCCGCATTTGGTCACCTCAGATTGTAGCACAACGGGGTCTCATGAACGCGAAAGAATGCTGCTTCAAGTCGACGGATCAACGAACCAGTCATTCTGCCGAAGGCCTTGCAGCGAAACTTCGAGCACACCTGCACCGAACACATCCGAACACATCCGAACACCACACAAATCACACACATTTATACACAGCTGCAGAAACTGGGATCATTCCAGGAGGTCAAACGGATGTTGGATTTGACCGTCCTCCGGACGCCTCACCCCACCCCTCCTCCACGCCTCCATTCGCAATGGCGAACATCTCCGTTTGGGAGAAGGCCCAGTCCGAGATTCGACTGGAGAGAGCCCTTTGGAGTCAGAAGATTCACTGACTGAGTCGACGACGACAGTCTTCCTCATTGTTGGGTCGCATTGCCAATAGCAGGGGGTGTTTCTATTTGTCACATTGACATGTCCTGCTGGGTTTTGAGCAGTTTCTGCCCTCAGACTCAGGCAGGCGCAAGCACACTTGCACACGCCCACACGGCTCAAGGGGGTTGGAAGAATTCCGAAAGCATGTACGAACCAGAGCGCCAGGTTTGGTCCGAGGTGCGATCTGGCCTGGTCAGCCTGAGCGCCAGTGAAATTCAGTGGACCCGACCATGGTCTCTTCTTTGCTTCAACATGCATTCAGACCAGATCAGGTCTTCATTCATTTAGACCCATTCTTTGGTCTGGTCTCTTCTCTTTGAGTCACAGGTGTCACAGGTGTTGTTTTTGGGGGCCACATCTTCAGATTTTGGTCTGAGACCGAGGTTCCGTGGGTGCTGAAGCGGCCTTGTTTCCGTCCGGGGAGACCCGGGTAGGTACGTGCCGGCACGGCTGGGCTCGGGTGGCACTTAGGATGGTAGCTCAAGAAGGCCAGCACCTGCAACTGGATCCACCTGATTGATGTTTTTTGTTCATGTCTTTTCTGTTTTTCGTTGGCGGTTTGGTGCGATTTGGTGTGTAATTACCCGTGCCCCAAGCTTGCACTCAATCATACCCCTTGCGTTTACGCGGAATGAACATTGCAGATCGTAACCAGGGCTCAGCGGTGGTCTAGGGATGATTGAGGATTGATGTTAATTCTACAGGTATCTACGGGTGTGTCCTTTTTGGAGCAAGAAAAAGAACCGACTCTGCCGCTCATAGCTGCTGCTCGGGAAAAATCTAGTTGGGCTAGCCACATAGTTTTCTCATGGTTTCTCCAAGCAGGACTCCTAAGATGTCGGGGATGACATTCCATTCATGTTGCATCCGGTGGATCTTGGTGTCTGTAGGGTTCATTGACAGGCCGTAGCTACAGTGCATGTTGTTTGAACCAAGGGTTCCTATGCACATCCGCTTTTTGAATTGAATGCCGCAGGGCTATACCCACGATACCCACTACACCATCCAAAATGGGCTGTTTCGGGCGGCCGATCCTCGGTGTGTGGTTTCGCCGCTTCGCCTCGGGACACGGCGCCGCGGTGAGGCTGGACACGGTGAAACTTCAACAGCAAGTCTATGGTGGGACTGTCGACACCTTAGGCTAACCGGCCACCGAACAGGGCCACGGTTGGACTCGGACAATGGACTACACCAAGCCTCGGCCGCAGAGGACCGTGGTTTGGGGTGAAGGCGTGGAAGGCAAGCCTTGATCCTGCCCAAAAAGCCGGACACCTTTTTGGTTTCGTTGGATCGTCGCGCAGACATTGCTTCGTTCTTTTTCCCCAAGGCCGCCTCGGTTTTGTCCAGGCCTCAGGAAAGCCGAAAAGAACCGTTCGAGCGGCGTTGGAGCGTTATTGGAGGTTGGAGTGAGTGCTCAGTGCAGTGATCGTATCTCAGGAAACGCCTGGTGGCGCAGAAAGGCTTGCGCGGAGTCTACCAGGGATTGATTGGGTGCGCCTCTCAGCCTGCGGAGATGTGCAGGCTCAGGAGCCCACAAAGACCTCAGACACGTCGCGCGGTTGAAAGACGGAGCATCACCAGTTTCCACGTGGGGCTGCAGTGGTCTCTCACATCACCCGTTTCCACGTCGTCTGCAGAGCCCAACAGAATCCCGGAGACCATCTTTCAGACCTAGAAGCGATGCACTTGTTCCTAGTAGCGTCCTTGTTTCTGGTAGTAAGGCACTTGTTACTTCTAGTAAGGCACTTGTTTCTACTAGCTTCCTTGCTACTACTAGTAAGACACCTGTTACTAGTAGCGAGGCACTTGTTCCTAGTCGCCGTTGCCCCCACGAGTCGCAACGCGAGTCTGCGAGTCCGGTGGATGAGGCGATTGATCCAGACCATCACATCCAATGCCTGAAGCTCAAGTGGCGAAGCGGAGTGGTGAAATGAACCTGACAGCAATATATGATGTGAGTGTGTCTTCTCCTTAAAATGGAGACACTGTGGCCCAATGCGATTTTGTCTATTCTCCGTCTTCCATCTATCTATTTGTTGGATCGAGGGCAATCGGGACATGCTTTGGGACCAATCTTTGGGAGGATTCAAAGCTGAGTCGGTGGGCTAGCCTCGCACTCCCTTTTTTCTACCTATATATAATAGCAATGGCCTCCATCCTAGTAGCGATGGCCTCCAACCTACTAGAGATGGCCTTCAACATCCTTCAACCTACTGGCGATGGCCTCCAACCTAGGGTTTCTTGAAGGGTCCCAGATGGTGCCACTGAGGTGGGCTTCTTCGTCTGGCAGACGGTCTTTGTGCAATTGAGCCTGCGCCAAGTGCAAGCGCACCAGCCAGGCCAAGAGAAGCTCCTTGGCTGCGAACATTGGCCTGGCTGACTGGTGGCACACAAGGAGTTGAGAGACATGGGGTCAGTAGCTTGGAGCTGGACATGGGGCTCACAATCTGTGGGGCAATTCATCCACAATCACTTGTCCCTCTTTCTCAGATCTGTATTTCAGATCCTTTCAGATCTATTTTCTAGCTGACACCATGAAGTACCACATGGTACCACGATGCCTTGGTGCTCATCCTGGATGAACCTGACCTCTTAAAAGAATTCTTTGATGTGCCAAACTGTCGTGGTTCAGTTCAGTGCCTTTCTGGTTGGACAATTCCGGCGTGCACTCCATGGACTCCATATGAACTCCATGGAGTCCACCGACCCTGGCGGCTTCCGAGATCGTCGGTCGGTGCGGACCCTGCGAAAAGCAGGCTTGGGACTGTGACAGCTTTGATTGTGAACATGCTGGCACAGCAGCGCCTCGGCATACGATCTTGATGGGGAAAACAACTTCACGAGCTTTGACTGAGTGGCAGCCGTATGTTTGTTGGGACCAGTCCTGTTGGCGCAATTTTGGGGAGCGTGCAGCAGCAACACACATGTAATGTTTTTGTATGTGCAATTGCAGAAAGGTCTCTCTGGAAGTAGCAGATTTGCATGATTGGCAGTTGCTTTGCCAAGGCTTTTGTAGATCAGATGAACATTGCCATTTGCTTTGATCGGCAAAAGATACCGAATGAGAATCAATGGATATGTCGAGTTGAGTGATGTCTTCCGCTACAGATTCTATCAAATTCTGCAGCTTGCTCAGTTGTGGCAGGATCAATCGCCTTTTGACCACGCCTTTTGATGTGGTGGCCAGTGTGAACCAGGCCGACAACTTGTCCTGTGCCCTGAAGATGGTTCCCTTTTGTTTTACGACCAACGGATCCATGACAAAACCCAGCAAAAGCCGCTTGAGACCGGGCCTCTACACTCCAGATGCTGTGGTAAGAGAGTATCACCATTCAAAAGAGGATCCCCCAAGGCTTTGGGCTACTTTCCAGCAGAAAGTTGCCGAGTTGCACCACCCAGTCCACGCCGAACGGGCACCACACCTCCGGTGTGTGGATCACGGTGTGTCCACCGTCGAAAGAGCTCGCGGCTTTTTCAGGCGGATCCCAATTCCAAGGGCTTTTTTCACACCTTCTACCGCATGGGGAGCCGACAGCTGAGAGGACAGCGGAGGACAGCGAGGGTAGAACTCTCGCTGTGAGAGTTGGTGTGGTTTCAGAAATGGTGTCACTGGAGACTCTTTTCTTTGTGCAGCCGGAGGATCCAAAGCACCAGTGCCCCGTAAAACATGTTTTCAAACAGTAGGGTCATTTCAATGCATTTTTGTGAAGATTCTTGAGCCAAGAGTCTGCTTTTTCGGAGGTTGCACATCCACCGGACGAAAGAACACACCGGGTCCCACCCCAAGTCCCTTCATCATTGTCTTTTTCGCGTCTTGGTGGCTTCGCTCTGAGGTACCGGTGGTGTAAAGGAGCTTTGGCGTGGGCATGAGCCCTGGGAGATTTGGAGTGGTGACCTGCTGGAGTGGTTAACCGAAAGCTCCCCAACTGGGGTCGTCCCACAGCATGAACACACACATACAGTATATGACTGACTACATGTACATATATATATATATCTAAAATTATATAAAAAGCCGCTATCCACCAAAGAAACTACATGTTTTCGTGCAAGTGGTGCCAGTGCCAAGCCTCTTCCAAGGCTTCCAGTGGCTTTGCTGCTTTCCTTAAACCCGGCGTTGATGTTCACGCTGGCTGCGGCCTCACCAAGTGTGATGGGTCAACTCACTGCAGTGATTGCCTTTGTGTTCACATGTGTTCACAATGGCAGTCACAGCAGGATTCTCATTCGCTGACATTTCCGTTAAAGGTCCAACATGTTTTTGACACTTACAGTATATATACTGTAATGTATTTTAATCAATTACCTTTTCTACCGCATGTCCTGGTAGATGCAGAGCTGGGAGGGTCTGCTTTCCAAGGTTGGAAAACTCTCAGATTTTGTGAAGGCGCAGAGTTGTGTCAGAATTGGACTTGGCTTTGAAGGGAGTTTGATGGTCATGAAGCCTAGCCAATCTGAGCTTAGCAAGCTGTTCCGACGCAGGCCTTGCGAAAGACCGCTCCGGAGGGTTTTTTGAGCTCTTCTGACATGCCCCATGGCCGCATGATTTCGTGGCTAATGTCTGACCAATCTCTGGTTTTCCTACTTTTGCCTAACATGGCATGTTCATATGGGTTCTTACTACTCTGCAGATCTCTGCAGCTACCTTAGTTGGAAAGCCCAATGTGGCACTTGGACGCCGGGCTTGTCCCTAAGTGCTACGACATAGTACAGCTACACTAGCCATCATGCTCTGGCCTCATGAATAGTTTCGGGAAAAAGGGGCGAACTCTCAGGGGCTTGGGGAAGTGTGAAGGGCGAACAAGACAAGCTCATACAAGCTCTATATTTTCATGGAGCAACCGCCAGAACTTGCCATGACCAATTCGTGGATTTCAGGAATTTGGCAAGCACCTGCAAAAGCAATATAGGCCCCCCTTCAAAAGCGATCCTTCAAAAGCGATCACCTTGTTGAATCATGTCCTCTTCGTTAGGAGATTGGGTGAGATGATTCTATTAAAATCTATTAAACATCCGCTTGGTAGGATGTTTTTTGGAGGGTCTTTTTCAGTCTCGAAAGGCGACCGCCGGTCTGACCTGTCCCTGAAAGCCATCGGTTGACCTTTCTGAAAGCAAGCGTTGTTTAAGTTAAACAACGCTTGCTTTCAGAAATTGGTTCCTCCTTCCCAGCCAACCGACATGGCCGAGGTTTTGGATCTCGGGGATTTCCAAAGCCGTGGCCACTCTGCTCACCTACCCTTTGATTCGGGCGAAGGCGGGGCGCCAAAGGATGAACGAAAAGAACTCAGAACTCGTCGGTCAGTGTTCTCGACCCCAGTGCTCCAGCTTAGATCAAGTGCTCCACTGAAAGGCTTGAAATGCACTGAGATGCAAGAAAGACATATATATTTGCACCACTGTGGGCTGTTTGGTGTCTCTTCGGCTGCGGATTGGACATTGTTCGCCATTTGAACGCGTTTTGTCTTGCAATTCTGCATGCCGTGCCAGTTTGTGTGTCCTCTATTGTCAGTCCTTCTTTCTGTTTCATGAAGTCTTTAGGTACAAGTAATTAATTAGTTCAATGATCATCAGTTCAATGATATGCTGCTTAAATGTTTTTGTGGGTTCTTAGCCTGTAGCTCGAATCGGGGATTCAATGGTGTGCGCAATGATATGTGAACAGGCCCGCCTTTCAGCGCTATAACCAAGCTTTTGGAACCCCGGACACCGTCGTCGCGGTTGTCGTCGTCGAACTGTCAGTGTCACCCGCCGCCGGCCGGAGCTCCAGGCCGTGATCCAGACCACCGGCGGAGATCACTTGGGTCTCTGGGGGATGCTGGTGGAGCTCTCAGCAACATGTGGAGTTCTCATCCCGGAATCGTCGCATTTTTGTGGGTGTCAAAACCTCTTACTTGAAAAACAACAAACAGGAGCCCTTGGGCAGAGGTGGGGAATGTCAAAACGCACAGTGGCGTAAGTATGCGTAAGTGCATTTTCATGTGACTATGTCACATTTTTCTTTGTAGCATTTAGACCCTGTGTTTAGATCAGTTAGAGATTCTGTTCCTAAGAAGTTGAAGCTGCAAACTCTTGAGAAACTGTTGGCCCTCGAATCTGGAAGCTTTCTCGAGGCAGGCATTGTGCGCAAGGAGGGGTGGCTCTCTCTTTACCAAGGGGTTGGCCACCTGGAGGACTCCGCAGGACAGCTGACAAGGGATGACCAGTATTGGCTATGTTCCAATACTAAAGTTAATCCGAGAGGATCCAAGGGCAGGGGCCTCATTTAGGCAGTTGAGCTAAAGAATGGCAGTTCCAGAGACAACATTCAGGTCCCAGTTTAGTCAAGCAGTGCATTAAGGTCCCTTCAATTCCAAGATTAGAGTCTTGTCCTTTGATTGTTGCCGGATCCAGTTCTCGACACCGACACCCGCATTTTTTGAACTCGTAACGTGAGGTCTGGATCATGAGCTACAAGACGGTGCTCTTCAATTCATTGATGATGGTCTGCCTGGCTCGGTTTTTTTCACCTAGACGTCCTAGGGTCCTAGAGATTTTTGAGCAGCTTGGGACATGGTCAAGGCAAGATGCGAACGCCAAGTGAACAGGCCTTGAAGCAGAAAGTTTCTCTGCTACTGATGCAGTCCGGGACCCCGGGCAGTGTGAAATCGGCTCTAGGAGCCAGAGGCCAGGCATATTCACTTCACAACCACATGCTCATTTCATGGAAAAGACCTTTGGCGCCTAGGGCGGGCACGTATCAATGACCACTGACCCGCGTCGTCCGCGTCGTCGCCTTCACCAGACGCCGAAGCACCGGAGCCGCCCAGGTGGGATCGGTTCCGGGATACGAAGAGGCGGCAAGAGAAGCAGGCCGAGCTGGAAGGCCAGGCAAGATGCAGACGCTTCCAGGTTTCTTCACTGCAAGACCAGGCCTGAGCTGGAAGGCTCCAGGTTTCGAACTTCCCAGGTTCCAAAGAAACCTGGACAAGCATGGACAACCTGAGACCAGTCAGACAAGTCATCTCTCTACATGAGAAGGGATACAGAACCGCAATCGAACGGCGCTGGTTTGCGTTGCCAGGCCAGTTCCGCAAGAATGCCAAAGCCCCAGGATGGAGTCGAAGATCGATGGTTTTTTTTTCCCGTCACGGCACGGTGGTGGTTTCCTGTGAGCGCACGGGTCAAACCACGGGAGCAGAGGGTGAAGAAGTCCTGGTCAAGCTCCACTGGCTGATTCTATTGGGTTTCGGGGTATTGTCCTTCATCTCGTTCGCCTTGTTTGGGAGGTGAACAGCTTGGAGTAGAAGAAACACCTGGAAAAGAAGGCCTCTTCCTCTTCCTCTCTTGGCGCTTAGGGCTGCTTTCTCCATCTCCCCACTGCCTTCGGCAGTGGATGCTCCCCCGACCAGATCCCTTCAGAAGGGGTCAGCATGTCGGTGGCCGGTGGCCTTTTTGAGGTCACTTCATGTTGTAGCTTGGAGATGCCATGGGAAGCGGCAGCTCGAGGCGGCCTTTTTGGTGGTAAAGAACGTGGTGAGGGAGTTTTTTAGGCAAAGATGGATAGCCAAGGTATGCAAAAAGCACTGTATAACCAAGTCTTTGCGTATTTGGCACCTTCCTTCAAACGTTTATATAGCACCCTGGTGGATGGGGAAGTTCTTGGCTAGCCTGATCTAAGGTCTCTTTTGTTAATAAAGTCCAATTTTGGTCGTTCGATTCTTCAAGCTAGCTTTTCGTAGACGACTCATACTATATATAGATATATCTTGCTTGAAAGCTCCTGGTTGAAGTGCCAGCTCGAAGTACGGAAAAGGCTATGCACAGAACATATCCAGAAAGTCATGGAATCGTCTCACAGCAAACATGGAGCACTATATTAGCTCTTTGTTTGGCCATCATGTCCAGGCCAAAGTGTGATGTATGTGGATGGCTCCTGGTGCTTCCTGCATGATGCTCAGGCCTGGGGCCCCAAGTAGTGACGAGTCTCCAGACATAGGGCCCCAAGTAGTTGCAGGGTCAGATTGACCCGTCGTCAATTATGTTGTGCATCCCACATCATGCAACAGAACCTCGAGAAGGTGGCATGCATTCATTTTTCTTGAGTTGCATCAACAAACTTCAATTCGCTTTGCTGAAGGTATTTCAGGGGACTCCTTATTTGGTGCGACACTGGATGTTGTATGATGTTGTTTGTGCAGGCTCACATCCTTCGAGAAGGCAACAAGCTAGCCGACCACCTCATCGTTGGTGTGCACAGCCGAAGCCTTGGTGTTCAAAATGAGTGAACCAAGAGGATCAGATGCGGTCCAAAATCCACACCCTTCTGCGTGCAGGTGCACACGTAAGTAAACCACAACGAGAGGCCCCAGAAGCGTTTCCTCATTGACCGAACCATACCGAACCATTTGTTCGGGTGGTCGAGCCTTGGTGCCTGGGGACAGCGAGGGACACTCAGCGAGTGTCGAGTGTTGAGCACGTGTCAAGTAGGTCATACTCGAAGTGTGGCCTTTTGTTCAATATGATGATATGGTGACACCTATTGGCTGGCTAGGAAAAGAAACATGAGCCAATGCTGTCTAAGTGAGAGTGAGAGCCTATGGTAAAACCTGGCTTTTACTGAAGAGGACCCGCCCAAGAGCAATTGATGGATTGATCTATCTCGTGACACCAAGGTGACGAGATTCACCAAGAGTCCGTCGGCACATGGTGATGCGTGGCACGCTTCACCGTGTGTACGGCCTTCACCGTGTGCCTGGTGCTTTGCGGTTTGGAGATTCTTGCAGATGAGATGCGACAAATGGAGGGTGTTGTGGAGCAAAACCAGGTTCCCAAGAATCCACTATACGTTTTCTTCCTCTAGACTCGAGGAGGTTCATTTGCACATGGTCAACCGGGATACATTTTTTGGGATCAGACCCATCTCCAACACTGACAGCATGCTCATCCTCAAAACCGCCAACCTCACGCACAGCGAACTCAGACTGAACATTGGACCGGATGCTCTGCCAGGCCGGCGGAATGCTATGCAGAGCGTCTCCGGCGTTTGCGCAGGAAACCTTGGGCAGCGGCGCTCAGCGCCACCGTCCTCCAGTTGGTCCTTGGGGAATGTAGACGGTTGATGAATAGAATTCTATGAAGAGCTTTTACCATCCAAATGGGAGGTACATTCATTAAGTCTTTGACACAAGGACTTGCAGAATAGTGACGAATTCTGTGCTGCGTAGACTCGCGTAGATTCGGTTTTTGTACCGTTCCACATTGATCAGCAGGCTAGATTCAGCCGCCCGAACACGAACTTCCGCTGCAATTTTGGGGCGCTTGATGAACTGTCTGAGGCCGCGACGATTCTTGAAAATGCGCCTTGGGAGGTGCCCCCAACGGCAGACGCGGTCGTCTCCGCGCGGGCGAACGTCCGATCTCGGTGCGATCTCGCTGCGATGGGCGCTGAACCGGTCAACGACATCTTCTGCAAGTAAAGGATGTGATACCTGAGATTTGCCACACCAAGTCGATCTCTGTGCCCTAGGTTGTCTGTTTTGTTTTTCCTCCGCTGCCGGATTTCAAGACCACCCAAGGAGCCGACCTGAATCTTCAAGGTCAGCAACATGGCATGCTCTGCCGCCACCCAAACCACAGGTTCCCAGATTTTTCCGGCGTGAACACCCGAGTTCTTCCAGCACGTTTCGACACCCAACACCTGGCAGAGCCTGGCGGAGTCTTTTGCTCGAAGAGGAGCTGCTCCAGCGCAGGTTTCTGCCGAGTTGCTGGAAGAGCTCTCCATTGAGAAAGTCCTCGGTGGATCTGTGACAAAGATCGAGGAGCAGCAAAATAGAAGTGGAGGATTTTTTGCTCACGCCTTCACACATTTGGACATGTTCAGTGGGTGAAACTTCACTGCGGGGTCGTGAAGCGGGTTATTGCATGTCAGTCTCAGCGATTCAGCTTGTGAGAGGATAGGCCCAAGGTAGTGCCCAAGGTTGTTTATGGGCAAAGGACTTCACCCGTGTCCAGATGGTAGCCAAGTCTTGAAATATTGGAATCGGCTTGTGAGTGTACCGTCCAGATGCACTATGCGCCCAAAACCAGGATTGCACCGGCGGTTCACCTCGGAGTCCAGAGAGGTTTGGCGGTCGGTATTTTGGCGGACCACGCATGTCCATTCCTGTACCGCAACTTGCCCATATTGATGCAAACGCTAGGAACCAATCGAGTGAGTGCCACTTTGATAAATGCGATTCGATGCTATGAAAGTTGTGCAGCAGTCGAACTTTCCAACAGCCAAAGAGAGCACACTATCCTTGGGGGTGTGAATCTCTTCTTTCCACTGCCAATAAAATTCGCGTAGAATATGAACGTGCGCGTTTGTTTCGCATTGGACAGCAGGTCTGACCAGTTGTCTATATCCGACCCCTATGCTGAATGCAAGAGGCTGGCCTGCGTTTTCCGACCGGTGGTTTTGGATAGGTGACCTCAGTTCCACAATGGAGCTTGGTTGGTGCGGATGGCAGAGGTTGTGACACTGCAGACACGCTCCACATCAGTAGGGCCAGACCAGGAGCTTTAGCTTACTTTTACCATAGTCAGCAAGCTGAAACTGACTATATATATTATATATAGTCAGTTTCAGCTTGCTGATACGATATTATACGATACCAGATACAGCAGGAAATTATGAATAGCCCTACCTCCCCATGATACCCCTCCCCAAAGGGGCACTCTCTGGCAAGCCCAGCCCGGAATCCAAGTGAATCCTCCGAATTCCAAGACTTGTTACTACTAGTAAGGCACTCGTTACTAGAAGCGATGCACTTGTTTCTAGTAGCTTCTTGTTACTAGTAGCGATGCACTTGTTCCTAGTAGTGCGGCCTTTCCGCTGCCAGGCGGGGCATTTTCGAGGAGGTGAAATCCCTGAACGCCTCCACCGAGCACGACGAGTGGATGCGCAAGGTGCGTAGATCGGACCACTGTTACAGTAATTGCTATTTTTTTTCTATTTTATTTTCTGGGGAGACAGCGAAATGCAGCTGCTTGACACATGACTTGAATGTAGAAAGTCTTACTCCCTGTCAGTGCACACTACTCAGATTTGCTTGATCTATGGACTGTGGGACACCACAGTGCCTCGCAAATCACTGCAAGTCAACACAGATGACAATGCAGGCAAACTAAGTATCACGCCAAGAAACACCACAATAGACATTACAAGAATGCACCAACACTTGCTGGCAACTAGCAGCTGCAGAAGGTCAACAGGGGTGAGCACGAATCAAGGTGAATCATTACACGGATCGGTCACCCAAACTATCAAAGTCCACTGGACATCTTCCACCGGCATGGCTCAACTCACATACTTCAGGGTCAGCCACTGACACCTCACGGGCATCGGACAATGCCTCCCACTCACATCGGACGACCTGAGGTGATGAAGATCGCCTTCTCCAATGTGGATGCCTCCATCGACTGGCGCATCCTCGTTGGGGGGACACAGTTCGTCAACTTTTAGTGCGAAGAGACTGGTGAACACATTGAGGAATGCCAAGAGACTGGTGAACGTAGTAGGGACATGTACGGGTCTGGGCTTTCAGCCAAACGAAGCGGAGAATGGTTCCTTTTGTAGTGGTTCTTCTTTGATCTTGCGGGGGTTGGGGTCCTCAACTTCTCTGAAATGGATGTGTTGCGGACTTATCAGTCTTTGTTGCTCTGGTTTGTTTGTGGAAGGCTCTGGCCGCAAGTTTGGGCGCGATCACCCGTGGTGCTGTGTGTTGCCTGGTCGATCGCGTTCCCAACTGGAAATCCAACCCTACAGGTGGTGCCTTTGATCCAACGGCTTCCGCCCAATCCAATCCACACAGTGCTGCGGACACTGACCTTGCTTAAGATAACTGTCACCAAGGTGTCAGATGGACAAAGCTGGGCACCAAGACCTCATTGGACTTTTTTGGTATCAAACAATGACGGCTTTCCAGAGCTTTGATTTGCAAATGTCGGAACATGGTAATTTTTCGGGATTGATCAACATTTGAAGGCTACTACTTAGTTGACAGTAGAGTAACCAATGCAAATGCTGACTGCATCTTGCTGATGGACTTGCACACTATCATATTATATATACAGAGTTAATTTTATATATTTATGTTTATACTTAATCATTACATATCACGGCCATATTAAGCTGCACCTGCCTCAAAAAGAAGCACGAGCAATCACTGAAGCTTCTTGTAAGCACCCTGCAAGGATCAATGTACATGGCGACCGAAAAAGGGAATATATTGGTGTCAATCTCCCACTTGGTGTCCTCTCCCCGTGTCCGGATCCAGTGTCCGCTCCCATCGGCAGGAGCACAGTTTGGGCCCAACCCCGGTTACCGGGACGAGACCCCGCGAGGAGACGAGCCGATCCGTCGGCAAAAATCGATTTGAATTCGGTGCAACCTTGGGCCACAACACCCGGTCTCGATTGCGCATGGAATCATGGATGTGAAGTGCAACAAGCCAATCTGAAGACCTTCTCAAAAATTGATGGGGGTTGTTGCTGGGCAGAGGCAGGGCTGAGGGCCTTCGCTAACTTTTGCGAGCCTGTACATATGGACCGCGGTCGCTCGCGCTGACCTCAGTGGCCAGACATGAGCGCCCGCGCTGACCGTCCGAAAACCGTTGGAAAAAAGTATCGTTGGTCAAGAAATTCCATGAAATTCCTAGAATCTGTAGCCATTGGAAAAGACGGAAATGGAGGACTGCCTGTGAACCCTGGGCTGAACATTTTGTATAAGGAAGTGTGGAGGATTCTTTCAATACCTCCGACCTAGTTCCGTTGTTAATAGGGAAGCGGCTGAAGAGAAGACCTGCCAGACATGGTCCGCCAAAGACAGGATTTGGGTTCATTGTCATGGCCCTTTCCTGGACAGGTGAATATAGAATATAGACTGGTAGATGGTAGGTAGTCTGGTCATTTGCATAGAGTTAGAGTGGCCTTGGTGGGGTCAAGGTGGAAATACCCTGGCGCAATCGATCGGATCGCAATCGCACTCAATCGGAGAGCTATTATTTTTTTTGTTATTCTTCTTATTGTTATTATTATCTCATGATGGAACTATGTAAGTACTCGACTCTTCATCTATTGAGGAAGCTGCAGCCAAATCAAGCAAGGTGGCAAAGCCCTCCTCGGTGGTGTTCGGTGGTTTTTGGGCTTGCAAAAAGGTGTTGTTCGAGACTGACCCAAGGAAAGAGTAGCAGGGTCAGGACGTAGCTACGACCCTGCTCTTGGCTCAACCAGATAGAAGCAACATGAGCAAGCAAAGAGATGCAGCTTGCATAGCTGAAGCGCAGCTCATGATCCTTGCTTCAAGAACCCCCAAAGTTAGCTCTCCAGGTGCATGTTCAAACGGTGAGGTGAGAAGGTCATGATGCCATGATGGAGCTATGTGATGAAGCAGTGCAGCCAACCCTGCAGAGATACAAGAGATATCCGGCGAGCGAAACCGTCCAACTGTGCTCCAGATGCCTTGTACCAGCCATTTGTGACTCACTGGAAGGCGCTGTGACAAGCTGATATCAACAGATTCATATTGGAATCTTTTTTGGAATCTGTACATTCCAATCATCCTCTCCAATCCTACCCAAGCTTCCTGCCCAGATTTGAGTGTGGGTTTCCTCAGAGCTTGTCCAGAAGTGCTGCCGGCTGGAGGAAGTCCATTTGGATCCAGATAGACCGTGATGCTGTGATTGGACGAACTCGCACGGCTGCAGGCGAAGATGGCTCAAAATGGCAAGGCGTCCATGTCGCCGTTGTTTCTTGGTGCAACACAGGACTCGAAGTCGAACTTGTGTACAAGTTTCGCCTTCAGAATCCTAATCTGGCTGAACCCAAGCTTCAACCCAACAAATACGAATTCCTTTTGGGATCCTGTCTCGCGATGCGCAAAGTGCTTGTATCGTTTGGTCAGCATCCTCTGCAGCCGTGTCTCGCGCTTGTCTTGGAAAGCACCAAGGCTTCAGATGCGGAACTTCCCGGAAGCATGGATGGCGAACAATGGTGCTGAGATCGAGCCGAAGCTCAGGCAGGATGTCCGACGGACCTGTTTCTTCCAGGTCGGGCAAGGTAGAGTTTTTGCTGCCATGTGCCATGCAGAGCCATGTAGAGTATCTGAAAAAGACCAAACGTGTCAAGTATGTACCTTCATAGCAGACTAGAAGCCTCATGAAGTCTCATGAAGCTCCCAAACAGCCTCACTTGCTCCAACTTGCAGGTTCAGGAATTCCAGAGAATTACAGCAACTGATTGAGGCAGCAACTGACTACAGCACTTCCAAAATTGCACTAGCTAGGTAGGTGACATGGCTGAGCCCCTCAGCTGCAGAGCGATCTCTGCAGGAAGTTGCTGTCAACCTTCGGTGATGTCACAGGACTCCAGGTGTCGAGGGGGATGCTTCATGGTCTTCATGGGTTTACGGAGTTTACGGATGTTTACGGCTTCCACCTAGTCCAAGCTTCCCAAATCTTTGATTCTTCAAACACGTCCTTTTCTCGGTTGTGTTAGTATGCAATGATATGCAATGATGTAGCAAGTCTGAGAAACAAGACAGGATATAATATTACTAAATATTACTATATTTTTTTTAATTAAACATGATATCTTGAGGTGAGATCCTTCAAGAGTAGAACATACATGAACATACACAGATCTGTACTGAAGTCTTTTGCCACCTTAGAGCAAACGAGCGCAGAACGTTTCTTCGCCGTACGGGCCGTATACGTTCGTCAGATCAACAATACTCCGGGTGAGCCCATTACCGCCAAGGCCCGGGTCTGAGGCACCTTTTCTCGAGCGATGTCCGTCAAGACCTCACTAAGAGAAGTAGATGAGAAAGGAGTACTTTCCAGAGTTAAAACGAATTAACCCCCTCCTGATTTGATTCTTTTCAGTTCTGGTATGCTCGCATGTTCGTTCGAGGAATTAACTCTAGAGTTAGTTCTTTTCATTTCTGGCATGGTCGCTTGAGGAATTAACTCCAGACTTCTTTTCATGGGTCTTCCTTTGTCAAAGAATTGTGCCCTCATTGATTGGAGCTTGCTGCAACAGTGGTTACGGCGGCTCAGCAGGCTCCCGGACCTGTGCTCTTGGAAAGCATGGGAACTTCATCAAAGTGTTCGGCTGACTCCTGGCAAATCTTTTCGCAAGGCTGCAAAAGGGTGGCTGTCAGACAAGGGTTGTGCCACAGTGCTTTGACGAGCTCTTCATGGGACAGATTGCAGACCTACATCTCCAAGTGCACACGGTGTGTGGACTGCTCTTGAAGCTTGGTTCTGAGCAGCTGGACATGACAGGTTCCTGCACAGAGACCCTCAATGAGAAGCAGCTGAAGAAAGATAAGATGCCTTGCCGAAAATAGCAGAAAAGATCTCAAAAGTTGATGAATATGTTGCGTGCCCCTTCTCCTGAACCGGTCACCGACAAATAGCGCACTGCTGTGGAGAGGGGGAGTGAGGCCATGTGCATGGCAGCTAGAAATAAGGGTCAGAGATGCAAGCGTCCCAGAAAGAATGGAAGCCTTTGTTCTCACCACCATCACATAGTACTGTCTCAGCGGTCGGCCTTGCATCTCTATGAGGGGGTCAAGGGGCCAGCTGTGGTGTGGCCGCCTACCTGAGGCCACTGTCGGACTTCTTTCAGCACAGAACGGTGAACGAGTTTCATGGGGGATATTCCGATTACTGCGGTTGGATGAGTGCTGATGGCGCATGGGGCGACGAGCTTACGTTGCACTACCTGTGTGACTCTGTGACTGTCACTATTTCCAAAGCAGAGAAGGAAGACAAATATTGTCGCACCATCAGCCCGCCATCCATCATTGGCCCTCAGTTGTGGCATTCTCCGATCGTCGGCGTTAAAAAGGAACAGCGGCCGACAGACACAGTCGTGTAAACCTAAAGCCTCCCAACAGTTACAACAGACTTATAACATATTTAAATCTAGAGATAAATTCTTTTCTCTTTGTCACTGAGCGACTTTTAACACATTTTAACCAGAGTTAACTCGTTTTCTCTGTGTCCCAAGCTATAGTGTCACTGAGCCAGTGTTCTCTCACTGGTCACTGGTGTACACATGTCTAGTTTCCTGGTCTCCCAGACTTCGAAAAAAACGTCAATCCAGAGTCAACTCTTTTTCTCCGTGTCCCAAACGACAGTGTCACTGAGACATGGTTAACTCATTGGTGTAAAGCTTTCTAGTTTCCTAGTCTCCGAAAAATAGTGTCACTGAGCCAGTTCTCTCTCTGGTGTGCGCCTGTCTACTGTCCTAGTCTCCCGAGAGGGCTTAAAGACTGTAAGAAAAAATAAATCCAGAGTTAACGCATTTTTGTTTCTGAAACTATAGTCACTGAGACACTAATCTTTCTCTGGCGTAAACCTTTCTAGTTTCTCCCAAAGGCTTTAAACAGACTTTGAAAAAATAAATCCAGAGTGAATTCCTTTTCTTTGTGTTTCAAACCTTACTGTCACTGAGATAGTGTTCACTCTCTGGTGTAAAACCTTTCTAGCCTCCTGGCCTCCCAAGAGGTATTTTAGACACACTTTGAAAGTCCAAAGTTAGATTTTCTCTGTGTCCACAACTATGGTGTCAATGAAAAACTGTTTATTCTCTGGCGCAAGCCTTTCTAGTTTCCTAGCCTCCCAAGAGGAATTTTAACCAGACATTGAAACGAACTAAATCCAGAGTTAATTTTTTTCGTTTTGCCCCAAACTATAGTGTCACTGTGCCAGTGTTCTCTCCTACAGTAAACCTTTCTGTTTCCCAGTCTCCCAAGTAGAGGTATTCAAACAGAAATTGAAAAGCTAAATCCAGAGGTGTAGTGTCATTGGGGCACTGTTCATTCTTTAATTGTTTGGTGTAACTTGTCTAGTTTCCTTGTCTCCCAAGAGGAATCTTAACCAGACTTTGAAAAATTCAATCCCGCAAAAATTCTTGTTTTCAGTATCCCAAGAAGTAGTACTGAGCCAGTCTTCTCTCCCTGGTGTAAACCGGTCCACTTTCCTAGTCTCCCAAGAGGATTTCACACAAAAGTTGAGAAGAGGTATATAAATCCACAGTTGATTCTTCTTCTCCTTGCCCCATGCAATGGTCAATGAAACCACATTGCAAAAACATTAGTTTGAAAATAAATTCTTCGGATCACCACATGTGACTTAACAAGTTGAAGAAAATGAGTTCTTGATGCAATTTTTTGCACGCCCTATCTTGGACCAAGGATAGATGGAAAAGACTTACCTCTGAAATAAATTCGTTCTAACTACTGAAATCAGCCCTTACCAGTAGATGACAATGCTTTGGATTTGAGGATCTCAGGGATCAAAGTGTCACATATCCCTGTTGGGGTAGTGTGTGAACAAGACCGCCCACTTTGGTTCTGGTAAGCTCGCGCGTCGTCGAAGCCGTGGCCGAGCACTGTTTCTTGAAGGAAGTGTTTACATCATGAATTCCTCATTTTCATGAACCAATGTCCACTGCCAACGCTCGTTGAAAGAAGAAACGACACCGAAAAAGGGAAAAGAGGGGAACTGGATGCAGCGCAAACACAACTAGATCATCCTAGAACTTATACAACTTTCTGCTTTTGTAGGAAAACAAGGTTCTATCTTGGATATCTTGGATAACAAATCTTTTGAGGTCTCTCAGGCTCAGGGCAACCAAACAAAAATCACCTACCACTCCTACCAAATCGCATTGCTGAACATCTTCGGTCCCACTTGTCCCGACAGGCCAGCTTTGCGGAGCCTGCGATGGCCGACAAGGCGGTCCAGGCCCGAACGGGATCGGAGACGGCGGGGGGGGGCGGTTTCTTCAAAGGATTTTTTCTCTAAAAGCAGAGACGAAAGGACCCCACACTCGCTGTGTAGAAATAGGATATAAGAAGTATTGGACATGGATGCTATGTTGGGGACCCAAGAAAGACACCTGGTGTGGTTCTTTCGATGCCTTCATTTTTTGTCATTCGGGTGTTTAGCTCTATAGTCAATCCACAAACCGGAAACTTCAGGACAGTTGAATCTTTTTGCTAGACAGTTCAGAGTCGAATTCCTGGAAGTGAACGGTGACTGTGGTGATTGATGGACGGAGTGGTGACAGGTGGTACAGCCAATAGTGCTGGATGATGACTGTGGAATATGTTGACATAAACCACAATAGTGGCTGAATACCATTCACCATTTGCTGGCTTTGCGCTGCTGTGCCTACTCATACCACATGCACACGGTTCTCTCACTTTTAGCTTTGTCAGCTGGATCTGTATAAAGATCGAATGAATGCAACAGGATATATACACCCTGGTAGACTGACATGGACCCTGAAAACCACATCGGTTGGAGTCGGTTGGTAGAGGAAAAGCATCTTCCAGGGGGTCATGGTCGGGGTAGTGGTCGGGGTCCATGTTAGTTTTCGGGAGTGTATATATATATATATACATACAAGTCAGAAGGTGTCACAGCAACACGATGTTAAATGAGACCCAACCGCTCATCGGAGATGATGAGTTGCCAAAATTTGTGATTCTGATATTATATATATAGTATATATGTAATATGTGTATAGAATAAGTCGAATTCATTCCCATACATTCTTTCATTTGCAAATCAGTACATTTAATTTTACCGATATCCGGAGGCACTCCATGGGGTCGACATGCGCACCGCCAAGCAGCGGCGGAGTAGTGGGCGGCCACCCACCGAGGCGCGTTCGGAGGAGCCGTTCGTCCATTGGGTTGGTGTGTCTCAACACCCAAATTTGTTGACGGCTTAATGAATAGAACCCCTATATCACATAATTATGTGGAGATGCAAAAACTAATCCTGGCAGGTGGTGCTTTTGTTGATCAACAGTCTGAGACTACATCACCTGAGTTGGTGTTCTTCTTCGCAGTGTCAATCTAGATTCTAGGCACGCGGCATGTTGATATCAATGATGTCATGGAGATTTGATATCATCGACATCTTTTGGTCCAAGAAGATCCTAGCCTTATGTGTTTGACCAAGGATGAGAAGTTTTGGGCGCAGATCATCTTGCCAGAAACAGCCGAGAGCACAGCAGCTTCCAAGCTGTTATATACTTGTTGTCTCTTCCAAATGCTTGTGAGCTGTAAGTTGAATGACTCGTGTTTTGCTGTATCAGCTATAGTTTTTTCAACTGAAGGGGCAAACGAGAGCTCTTAGTTAGTTGACAACTTGGCAACCAATTCTATCAATTTCAAGCCAGCTGAGTTGTTCTAAGTACTACGAAATTTGCTGTTGTTTTCTTGCGGGCGTTGGCTGAGGCCAAGCCTGCGCGTGAAGAACCAAGTCAGGACCAGTCCAGCTAAGTCCTGCACCGCTGGAAAGGGATCCTGTCCAAGCATCTAGAGGATACTTTTACTGATTTTATGTTGCATGTGGGGTGGCATAGGATTTCGTCCAGCAACGATTTCTAGTGTCGTCTTTCTTGAATAGAGTGTTTTCTGAAACCCAGCCTTGCAGCAGATGACAGATGCACAAGAAGCGTAGGTAGATGCAGAAGCAATGGCCACTGCTTCCAAAGCTTTGAGTTTGGTGCAACACGTTTTTTTTGCGTAAGCTACTAGGGTGGAGGCCATCGCTACTAGTAGCAAGAAGCCACTAGTAGCAAGGATCCAAAACAGCAGACGTGCCAGACAGGAGACATACTTACTTGTGGAGGGCTTTCCGACGAGCTGGACAGAGGCCATGCCACCACACTCTTTGTGGAAGGGCTGTGCAATTATCATGAGTTAGTTATTTTCATTCATATACACATCTGGCTCGGAACGGTTGCGATGAATTTCTAATTGTTGTTGCTTGTTTGGTCTAGCAAGTTGGCAAGTCCATGCATCTATTTACCCAGACTGCACAAGGACTTCTTGCAAATGCAATCCCTTCTTTTCAGATTGACCTCTTATTCTTTGTTCGCCCCCTGCGGGGTCGACATCCGTACGCGCCACGAACGCCACGCTGAGGCCCAGCTTCGTGCCACCTTCCTTGCCTTTGGCGGGGTGGAACGATTGACCCACGTTCCAGACTCCAGGCGCCGCGAACTCGGCGCGGCTTGGGCTGTGCTGCGAAGGGCGCAAAGGGTGGGTGAGGGTAGAAGGGCTAGGACGATCGAGGTCGGCCTTCAGTTGGGGTGGAGCCCTTCAGGATAGTCTGACTCTCCTTTTGATGAGCCGATGGTTTCAAGCATCAGTTATTTCATAGATTTTCACAGAAGCTCGCATGTTATCGCATGTTTTGGGCTATGACTCATTCGAGTTTGGCTGGCCTTCGCCCGGCATGCAGTGACCGCTCGTCCCGTCCGGTCCACAATCGAGTCCATGCTCCACAGAGTGGTCAGGTATGGGCGCATCGCCAAAATTCTTCTCAAGGTGCCTGTGGGAAAGCGTGTCAAAGTGCGGCGTCTTCGGATGTTGCAGCTTTACAAGCCGTTAGTTGGCTTGTTTGGGTGGCCAAGGTTTGGCGCCCGGCCAGGGATGTTGCCCTCAAATTCTTGTAGTTCTTTTGTCAGCGTTTGCAGTGTTTTTGGGAGTCAGGCGGCCCAGACCGTCCTTCGTTCAAAAGACTCGTTAGCAGATCGGAATCACGTTTGGTTGCCTGGTAGTTCTGCATTTCTGCAGATGTTTGTGTGGCTGAGCCTACGCCCGTGCAGATTTTTTGACTTTAAGAAATTCGCTCCAGATAAAACAGGCTCAAATAATCTTGAGAACTTCTGGAGAAAACTCGATGGATTGATGGGACAATGACTCAATCTACTGAGATTTTGGAGCAATTTGTAGGATCTTGATGGATCTTGAATACTGAAACTCCTCAGGTTGTTGACTAAATCTCAGGCTTGCGGCTTGCATACTCTTAGCCTGTTCAGATCCCTCTCCGCTTTTAGCATTCCTGTTCCCAGGTTAAGCGTTTCATCATTATATATAGCTCGCCCCCTTGTTCAACCTTTCCCTTCTTGGTTTGCTTTTTTCTGACTTATATGGATTGGATTGTTGTTACCAATGAGCTCTTTACCAAGCTCCGGTTTTATATTTATTATATATAGCTCAGTCTTCTTTTCGGAAGATGATTCAGACCCCAGGCCCTGCATCTTGCAAGATGAACTCAACACTTTCCCATCTGCTGTGGAAAGCACCAGAACTTCTAACATTTGTGTCTTTTGAGATCTTTTGAGCCTTTTCAGTTTTGTCGACCTTGGGTCTTGATATACAAACTGTTTGGCAGAAGATTGAAGAATCACGATTTGTTTCTGCACAGTTGGACTTGTATTTTGCTGCCTATTCTGATGCTTTGAGCAGCCACATCCAGGATCCGGATGCCATGGAACGGGTGGTTAGTGAACTCCACGGCACTCGAGTTGGAGATGGAGATGTGGTCGAGGAGCAAAGACGTTGCAGTATACGCTGCACTGGCTGTGTGTGGTCATTGCTTAGTTGATTTGGTAGCAGAGATCACTGTTGGGCTACGAGCAACATTTCAAGGATCTTTGGGTAGATTATAACTATAGCTCCTTGTTCGTGGCTTGCTGGTGCGAAGCTCCAGGAATGCGTTCTGCATTGCAAAATCACAAGCGCCGCGGTTCAGAAGAAGGAGGAGGTTGGGGCTTTTCCTTGCAAGTAAACCTGGAATGGTGCTTTACATTGCTTCACTATTCTTTTTTACATGAGCTACGACCAAAACCCCAAATGGGTGGTTAGTCAGGTTTATAATCATGCAAGTCATCATGCAGTATAAGCAAGTTTTAGCTGTAGCTCAGATGGTCAGATGGACAACATGGCTGGGACATGCTGGGACCGTTTTTGTGGCAGGCTTCTGTGCGGTGTGCTCCAGTGCCTAATGCATGAAAACACTGTGTATGTGCAGAGCTTGCCAGGAAGCTAGGCAGAAGAGAGAAGAGAAACAAGCACGAAAGCTGTGGCTTGGAATATTAGCATCGTCCAAGATGATGCATTTTGAGAAACTTGCTCTCCACGAAGAGGTTGCAATCAAAGGCTTCTCAATGGCCTTGGATGCCTCGGGCGAACTCCCAGAATCCGTCGCAGGCCGCATTCCACCGGAGCGCCGACGTCTTTCATTCTGCGCCGACCACTGGTACCGCGGTACCGAGCTCATCCCAGGTACCGTGCGGATGTGCGGAAGCGAAGGGAGGAAGCGCGCCAGAAAAAGGGCCAGGAAGACCACGAGGTGGATCCGTTTGGGGCGGTCCGTTTGGCCATCGCGGGGAGGCGGTGCAGTTGGTGGCAGCTTTGGTGGTTTGGGGGATGTTGGAGTGACCCAGAGATTGCAAAGAATCAGGGTATAGGGTATAGCGGTTGTAGAGATGCAACTAGATCTATATAATTATCGTGCCAAGAAACATTTATGATACATTGCATCATTTTGTAGACAGGGTTTTGTTCACACAAGAATCATCGATGTGGGGAGATGAATGGATGAACACCAGGTCGCCAGGTGTTCCATCTTGAGAGGCATCAATGTTGATCAAGAGAGACACTTAGGGATCAACAAAAGAACAACCAGGGATCAAAAAGCAACAATGAGGACAGAAAGGACAGAAAGAAAGGAAGGAAGGAGGGGGGAAGGAAGGAAGGACGGAGGGAGGGAGGGAAGGAAGGAAGGCGGGCAGGCAGGCAGGCAGGCAGGAAGGAAGGGAAGGAAGGAAGGAAGGAAACAGATCCCATAGGCTAGGTAGCTTTTAGTTTTTGCAAACGAAGTTGATTTCTCCTGGGGCACGACAGAATGTACCAGTTGTGACCCAATCGATCATCGAGGTAAAATTTAGAGGAGGAAGTGTGACCCAATTGATAATCGAGCTAAAATTTAGAGGAGGAAGGAGCCATTGAAACGTAGCATGCCTTTGTGAGCCACTCGAGGCTAAACTTTAGAGAAGGAAAAAACTACAGCTACTACTACTACTACTACCACCACTACCACTACCACTACCACTACCACTACCACTACCACTACCACTACCACTACCACTACCACTACCACTACCACTACGACTACTACTACTACTACTACTACTTCTACTTCTACTTCTACTTCTACTTCTACTACGACTGCGACCGCGACTGCGACTGCGACTTCTACCACGACTACGGCCACGGCCACAGCCACGGCCACGGCCACGACCACGGCCACGACCACGGCCACGACCACCACCACCACCACCACTGCCACCACCACCACCACCCCTACTTTTGTTGACGCTGCCACTGCACACGCCAGTGTTTGTTTATTTTGTGATCCTGTTTTGTTTCTGCCTTGGTCCTCGTTTATCATTTTTTAAAATTGTGTTATCCGACATCTCTTTAGATCCTTCCTTGTTTGTATCCACCACCCTCCATTATGTTCCTGCCTGTCCAGTTCTTGAATATGAACTGTTTCGAGCTTTGAAGCTTGCCACAACAGGAGCCTGAAGAGCCTGAGCCGAAGGAGCCCAAGGAGAAGGTCAAGCGGAAAGAAGCTGCAAAGAAGGCGCGGATGACTTGGGTGTGGCCTAAGTGGTGACTCGTGGGATGGATGATGGATGAACCTGGAGAAGATTATACTTTTCCAGAATCATTTCCTAGTTTGCGGGCTGGTCAACTTTTGCAATTGCAAGCTAAAGGTCCTGAAACATCCTGACACCGTTACTATGACCCAAGCCCTGCAAGAGCTAAGAGCTGGGAGAAATTGTATCCTAGGTTATCCTAGGTAAGATCTAAGTAGAAGATACCTACAAATCTGCCCCCCGTACTGTAACACGGGTCCCAGGTTGTATGAGATCGAGGATGGACCAGTAGCACATGGAAGGATCAAAACAAGTACTTCGGAGAAGTCACTCGGAGAAGCAGCGGGTCAATCTCCTCTTGGCGAACCAATCCTGTATGTAAAAATTCTAAAGCATACAGCAACCAAATCAATCATGCGAGGGCCTGGGCTTCTTCAAGGAAGTTCCCCGCCACCCCCAGGCGGTGGGAGCTTCCTTGCTCCTCCGCGTCTAAGCCTAGTAGCTTCCAAGGTCTTCTACTTAAGCTACTTCAACTACTGTAGCTTACCAGCTAGCCATAACTAGCCCTTCAAACAGACTTCCCCCAAAAGTCGTCCATGGTGGTCCGGCTGGGATGTTCTCCGATTCTTGTCAGGCCGCAGCACGCTTCGAGGCACTGCATGGGGACCCTGGTTCAACTCGGTAAGCCTCCAACCGCTTGGTAAGGGGCAATAGACAACCGAGACGCACGTTTTTTTTGAGCAACCATCGTGCCATACGTGCCATGTGCCATCGTGTATTTGCTGTCCAACAGAGCATTCTCGTGCCTGAGTTTGTAGGTCACTGCAGACTTCAGCTGAAAGGGTACAGTAGCGGACAAGGTCAGTCTACATACTATCGTGGAATATCCTATCTTGTACTATTACATCCAGATTTGATGCTGGAATTGCAGACATGCCAAGCCAAAGCATTCATGGTATTCGACATTACTGGCATTCATGGACAGTGATCGCTGAAGAGGAACGAGCCTTTTGTGATTGCAGGAAGAGGAGCGTGAGGAGTTGCGGCGGCATGAGGAGGTCCGAAGACATCCGAAGACATCAATCCTTGCATTTCTGTACGCCGCTGAATATTTGGTCATTCATGTTCACCTCAAAATATCGGGTTCTCCAAGAAGATGGAAGGGTTTTACTGTTTTGAAGGGATTCACCTTTCTATCGATTTTGAGGGGTCACTATACATTTGAGAAACAATGCTGTTTGGGCTCCCAACTCCCAAGGGCTGGCTGTGGGTGTGCATTCAGTCATCTTGCAAAAATTCATGGTGTCGGGGAACGACTACATATCATTAATAGTAGAATCAGAAGCTTCGCACATCTTCGGTTCTGCAATTATAATCAAATATACCGTGTTTTTCCTCGGTGCATGGACAGAGTACATACGTCTCGTGTCCCAGTGTACGAGCAATTTCCTTCGCTCAGACGCTTCGCTCAGACGCTTCGTTTGCTTTCCGGTTCCCGTGACGCCGGGGGGTGACCTGGACGCTGCTTCAGCACCATCTGTGAGGAGGAAGCCGAGCGGGCGGCGGCAGCTGAGCAGCGACGGAAGGAGGACGAGGCAGGGAAGGAGGACGCGGCAGGACCTAGGACCTTCATGTAGAAAACATGTCGAAAGAATCGGGGACGGGTTTGTGGTGATAAAGAAGGGAGATGATGCATTTTGTGGAAAGGACCCAGAGTCACTGGACATCATGAGGGAATCATAAGGGAGCTAAGTTTAATTACAAGTTATATCAAAGTCAAAGTATCAGTGTGTATATTAATATATATATATATTATATATATACACTGAGAGAGTGATTAGTGATTATTATAGACTTAGACATCCCTTCTCATTCCCTTATTAAAGCCGCGTCTTAGTAGGGATCTTTAGTAGACAGGGTGATCCTCCCAACCCTAGAATTGAAGGCCCAAAAGAACACCTTGAGGTTTAATGACTTCAGACTTCAGATCCTATTCGGATCCTTCCCCTATCCCCTGAAAATGGGAGGTGTCTGAAACGATAGACGTCTGGGATGAGGGGCACGTCTCGGATCCTTCTCGCTGCGTCGTGATGTGTCGTTCTTCGTAGTTCCTAGTAGCGATGCCCTTGTTCCTAGTAGCTTCTTGTTACTACTAGTAAGGCACTTGTTCCTAGTAGCGATGCACTTGTTCCTAGAATGAGCATCCATCGTAGCCAATCCCTTCAGACTTGGTCTGAACGGACGTATTGTATGCCCGGTCCAGAGCTGAGGCATTGGTGAAAACAGATTGGTCCCGGTCATGTGTATAATTGTATGTTGAACCAAGAAAGAGAGAGAGAGAGAGGAAGAGAGAAGAAGAGAAGAAGAGAAGAGAGAAGAGAGAAGAGAGAAGAGGGAAGAGAGAAGAGAGTAGACAGAAGAGGGAGGGGACCTGAACATGTTGATTTCCCAGGATTGATTATGATTGACAGGCGAAGAAGGCTGCAGCAGCTGCCGCGTATCAGGAGGAGTTGCGTCAGAAGGCCAAAGAAGCTGCCGAGCGGAGGGAGAAGGCCGAATTGGCAGCGAAAGGGAAGCGGAACGGAAGGATGTTTTTCAATTTTTTTCATGTGCCTACAAGACGGGTAAGTTGTGGGTAGTAATTTTGCTCCGCTTGCTTCACCAAGATTCATCCATCCACGGAAGTTGGAAAATGCCGGAATTGGAGAGTCGCACAACTGTGTGTTTCTTTCTTTCTCATGGTTTTAGCATGTTTTGGCTATTGCAAAGGAGCAACAACAAAGAGAAGCCGAACGGCAAAAGCGAGAAGAGAAGAGGAGGTGCAGGGGGACTGTAGATTCCGAGCATTGGATATTATGGCTCGCCTTAGCTTGCTTGTATACATGGATATACATTGCAGACTTGCATACAGTGAAACTACATGCAGAAGAAGCAATGTACCAAAAACAAGTGTATACAAGTTGGCATTCGGTGAATGCAGAGTTGACACCAAGACAGTCAAGAGTCTGTCGACATGAGATCTCATCCAGGTTCCAGGTTCGTGACCGAACTTGATGGGGTCTGGTTGGTATGAGGTCGGTCACTTTCTTAGGCCGTGTCGGTCACAAACGGAGATGAACTGAAGTTCGGTCACTAACGGAGACGTGTCTTCATGGCACTCTGACCGTCACTGCTACGGGACCCCCGGTTCCCACGCACTGTTGGCCCCAAGGCTCTGGGAACAAGACCGCATGAGACGAGAAGAGGACGGCAGCATGCAAACGACGCCATGGTTTTGAAGGGTAAACTCTGCCGGGTCAAAATGATTCAAAAGGTGTTTGATCAACTAGACTAGCAAGAGATGATACAGCATTCTTCTAGATTCTACGTTTTTCCTGAAGGCGTTCGCAGATTTTGATTGATCGCAGACGGTTCGGCGTTCAACTAGGTTTGCTGTGCAAGCACGTCGCTTTCCTGCTTCTTCCAGTGCAGGAGAGACAGCGTCGAGAAGACAAGCGACAGAAAGCTGAAGAAGAGCGCTTGCGAAAGGAAGAGGCGCTGCGACGTGTGCATGTCCCAGTTGGGTCGCACCCACGGCCCGTTCCAGCGTCGGCTGTACTAAACCAGCCTCGGCGACTCGGCTTCCGTTCTTGTTCGGTCACCTGCTCAATGTGTTCTTCTCCTTTCTCGAGGCACCACACGAACAAGAATTAACAGATGCTTCAGTTGAAATTCAATCGCGAGTTGGTGTGGGACGTCGATCGCGAGGATCTTTTGACCTTATGCCAGGATCGGCTGTAGGATTCTTTGAGACTGCTGCAGCTTCCATCTACACCGACCTATTTGGGTGCAACCTTACATGGTACCACCATGGACCACCCAAAAAGAACGTTGGTGTTGTTTCTGGAGAGCCAATAAAGGACGACGATGAACACTTGCAGTTCCTCCGTCTCGGCTTCGGAGCAACCAGGAGGAGAGGCAACGTCGAGAAGAGGCGCGCAGAGAGGCGGAACGGAAGCGCGAGGAGGCCAGGAAGCCGGTGATGAAGCAACCAGAGTGGGGCCGGGTCCTTTGAAATTGACACCATCCCCCCAGCTGTATCGCTCTCAAAAGCGATGCGGCTTGGAGTTGATGGGAGAAACCTGTGTTGAGCTGAGAAGTCTACATGTAAATGCACCGTGTGAAGGAGCGTTGATTCCATTCTCAGGAGAGACAAAGGAAAGAAGAAAAGATGCCTTGCCCCAAGCCTCCACAGATGCCACGGACTTCTACGCGCGCTGGACAAGCCGAATGGACCTGAAGGGAGTGAGTTGTGTACTTTGTGTGTGCAACCTGTTAGCATTGGCATCTACTAGCTTTGGATAGACACTTCTTCAATTCGGAGTGCAGATTTCATAGCACTTTGCAAAGCTCAAGGTGCAGATTTCGGAGCACCTGCAGCACTTTGTGGACAGCAAAGTGCAGACTTTGTGATAGTCTCATATGTGTGCTGTCTCATATTTGTGCTCTCGTATTCATGTGAGTGCTCTCGCCCGTGTGCTCTCTCATGTTTGTGCGGGTGTTCTCATGTGGTGGCTCTCGGCTCTCATATGCGCGCTCGGACATGTCACTTGCTGTCATGCGTTTGCTTCAATATTTGTGCTCTCTGACACCTGTGCTCGTTTGTGTGTAGCTCGCTTATTCACCCTTGGTTTGTTCTACTCAACGACATCCCATTTTTGCAGTATATACACATTTTTGTATACCAGTCCACAACATGTTCGCCTGGCTTTGGTCACAGAGTGTCAATTTGGCCATCAAGTCGGGACACCTGCTTAGGCGTAAGTATGAGGAGAGCAGAATGAGGCGAGAGGAGGCGCAACATGTGTGTGTGCATGTGTCGTTGTTGTAGCTGAGTGAGAAGGTGTTTGTCAACATGATATGAACCCACATTGAACCACCAACAAAGGGCTGACACCTGTCACCTTCCCCTCAATAAGAAGTACCTCAATTCGCCCCCCCTTCCAGTTGATGCGGAATTGCACTATCTGATGACCAACACCTTCTCACTCGATTACTGATCACCTTCTCAGAGATCACCTTCTCACAAACACCTTCTCACTGATCACCTGTTTGGGACTTCGATTCCTACGGATTCTCGGTCCACCGACCGGTGTGGTGGCTCCGCGCGCGGCCGCGGGCCCTGAGAGGTGCGAACGAGGAATGAGATTCAACGCGAGCTTTGGGAGGAGAGCTCAGGGAAGGGAACAGAACGGAAGTATACTTTGCTTGAAGAGGTTCGATATCAGGCTCATCGTAAACGTCGTGTGATGCACGATTTCGCTTCACACTGGCGAGGAGGAATGTATGAAAAGGGAGGAAAAGCTGCAACGCACGACGCTCAAAGATGCTCAAAGTCTGAGCGTCGACTTGCGGGTTCAATCGACTCTTCTTCCTTCCGGCAGAGGAAGAATTTGATAGTTTGTCGTTTTGGTGTTGATTTTCTCGAAGGTAGCATGTTTGGTAGCAACATGAACATCAAAGAGTTTCCTCGAGTTTGTGCTCTCTGGACATGGAATGAGTAAGTCACAATGTTGGCATTTGACATGTGTCCTCTTACTTCAGAATTTCTAAAAAAGGCAGCGTTTGTTGTACACTAGGATACAAATGGATACACGATAGCTTTTGTGTCGCACGGGTTCTTAGACACCACTGAGAAAGGGCTTGACTGGCGACGGTGAGGTTGGGTAGAGGAGCAAATGAGGATTGCAGCAGAAAAGAAACGCAAGCAAGATGAGGAACGAAGGCGAAAACACGAAGAGGACCGGCCGTCTTGGCGCGGCGCACACCGAAGGAACGACGGAAGTTCCGTTCGCGGAGTGCGAAGCACCAAAACGAATCGAACAGATGATCGACAGATCGCAAATGATAGAGACGTACAACAGTGGATGAATTTAAGGCTCAAGAGAACTACTTTTGGTTGTGACAGGTGTCCTTTGTTCTGGTTTGGTGGGTTGAGGCGCGTGTTTCCTAGTGGTGAAACGGTTGTGACAGCGAGATTGAACAATCAAGGCTGGGCGCGGGGAAGCCGAAAAGACATGGATCGATCATGCACATAATGATCGATCGGCTGGATCAGTCAAGCACCTTGGTATCATCCACCAGTACCAAAAATAACATGGCAGAAGATATATACGGTATATTTTCCCACGTGAGAAACTAACACACATCATTATATACATACTCATTGCAGGCACCAAAATCAATTGGCCATGTGATGTTGCAGTTTCATGTTAGCCCAGCTTCATGCTTCCGTATGCTTCCATATGTTTGCACGTGCTTCCATCATTCACCAGCTTCATGCGGCCAAAAAAGGCCTCCCAACTCGTGGCCCAAAGTGGCAGGCTCCACTAAACCTTTGGAAAGACCCAGCCCAAATGCGGAGTTCCTTCTGGTGGCTTAGAAGGCCACCTTCTCTCCGTCTTTCTTCTCCGTATTTTTTTCGCCGCGAGGAGATGCGGAAGTGGGAGGAGAAGCGCATGCGCCGCGAGGAGGAGATCCAGCGCCGAGCAGAGAAGGCCGTGAAGCTTGCGCAAGAGAAGAGGAAGCAACGAGAGGAGGAAAAGGCGCGCTTGCGAGAGGACCGCCGGGAGAAAAAAGCGGCAGAGACTGTGAGTGTAGTGCAGCAATTAAGTTGTGTCGCTGTTCCCTGGAAGTAACATGAGTTTTGGGACCAGTTTGGCCGACTGCCGTTTTCAGGAAGAGAAAAAGAAAAGGGAGGAAGACATGAGGCGATACGAAGAAAGCCGCATGCGAAGGCAGGACTTTTGCAACCGCATGTTGAGTAAACAAGCCCTTGGGGTAACAAGCCTACTGCAAAGGTAATTTCTTGGGGTGTCAACACCTTGTACCGAAGTCAATCATGCAAACAGTCCTCATCCAATTTGAGCACATGCACAGCATGAGCTGACCTCTCCAGGGAAGAAGAGCTGCTGAAATGGTATATCAAGGCAGGTGCCTCCTTTCAAGTCCAGTCCACGCATCGAATCCGAACTCCTTCTTCCTCAATGATCCCTATTTGGGGCACTTCATGAGTTAGGCCAAAGGTCTCTTAATAATAAGGACACCTCCAAACACACTCAGAAGCAGGTCTACTCCCCCAGGTGCTGCAGGCACGAGAAGCCGCTGAAGAGCGAAAGCGTGCCCGAGAAGAGGAGCGGCAGCGAAAAGAAGAGAAGATGCGGAGGAGAGGACCAGTGCCGTGTGTAGTGGACCATTGGAGAGAACCCGAAAAAGCATCCAAAAGCGGTGGATGAGAACTGGTGGCCTGGAGCATGCTTTTTTGACTGGCTTGTGAACTGGCTTATTTGACGCTTATATATGGGAGAGGGCACATTTTCAATTTGCAAGGCATTTGCCCTTTGAGAAACAGGGAGAGCCCCAAGAAGGGTCAATTTGATGCCGCACCTGTTGATGGTTTATGCAGAAGATGCGTCCTACTTTTGGCAGGTGGGAGGAAGACCGCATGGCCAGGCCAATGCGCAACATATCGCAAAACCCGCAGTTGATGATGTCGATGGAAGACTAATTGAACTATGCGAAACATCAAGCAAATCATACTATGAAGTCTAACATGTCTTAAAGAGATGCTGCCAATCAAAGCAGCGGTGAGCGGTTAGCAGCTCATGGGAAACCACCGACTGAATTGTTGATAGACTCGTGATCATGTTGCACTAAAGTTTCAGTGATGCAAGGCAACTTATATATTGTTGCAACCAACAAGAACCCGATTCACAGACATATATATAACTTAACTACTTTTTTGTATACTAGGGCCGGGTGATGTGGTGATGTCAGTGTAGCCGGTTTCCTGTCTTCGTCCATCGATTTCCAGGGAAGAGGTGAGGCAACGCCGAGAGGACGACCCGATTGCCGCGCGGGGCCACGTCGGGTCGTGCAATCGCCTTCCGGGGGCTTTGCATGCCTGCAGACGCTTGGTTTTTGGCGTTTTGGGCGATGAAATGATGGAAGAGGCCTGGAGGGCGGCCATGGCACATCTGAGTGGTCGGGCTGAGTCTGGCAGTTTTCGGTGCCCGCTGCAGGGTGTTTGCATCCCTGCAGTGTAGAAAAAAAGCGCAAAAAACACAATAACATACGCAGTGGCATGCCGAGCTGTGGATGTCACCTGCACATAGTATGTTTGCAAGGTGCAGTCATTGGAATCTGATGCACAAGCCACCCAACACACAATATTTTTGATATCTTCACAGACATTGTCCCTCCCCTACAAAAGCATATTTCATCACGTTTTGTCTATATCAAGGTTTGCAGACTAGTTGCAGCCTTCCTAGCGTAGTCACATGTAGTCACCTTCGTATTGAGTCCCATCCAAAACCTTCGGGCAAAGGTGGTGTTTAATTCTTCGCCACACCGACACCCGGCTGCTACGCTGCTACACCCGGCTACGACCCCTTCACCAATCCAGTTTGGGTATTTCTCGACGCGGCTTTCCGCGCAGGACAAACGGATGCTCGCCTCAAACATTGGGAGGATTGAGATGTGCCCCCTCCATATATAGTACAGTAATTACATCACAGCCTGCAATGCATTGGTGTTGAATGGCTGCATGGCTTTAACAACACAAGCGGAGCGGTAAAGATCATGTTTGCCATGTTCGAGCGATGTCCTTTTGCATGATTGCCCCGCATCTTCACATTGGCTCCTTTCGGTATTTTGGGTGTGAGTGAAGACACAGACAGGACTCCTTTTTTGAGGCTAATAGGTGTTGTACAAAAATTGAAGATGGCCGACTTGTTACTCGTACCCCATACAGTAGAGCTCGTAGAGACAAGGGGAGACTACGAGATGCTGGTCTGGATAGACTGTTGCGCCCTTTGACGAAGTGCTCCATAATGGAATGTCATGTCTGATCATTTTGAACAGACAAGGCGAGCCAGGGAAGAAGAAAAACAGAGGAAGGAGGCTGAGAGGGGAATTTGCCGCAGTGGAGGTTGTGTTCCCCATTTTGTGGACCATGGCAGGGATGCGTTGAACTTGTCGGTGCACCAGCGGCCAATGGTGCAAAACAGAGAGTGAATAAATGTGAATAAGATGTCTCACTTTCGGATGACTTTGGATGCATCACACAGCTTCGGTTGACATGGAGTCCGAGGTATCCCCAAAGTAGCTGCTTCGAGTGGAAGAGTTCCGTTGTGGCTGGGATTCTTGCTGCCTTTCTGGCCTTTCTTGAAGTGGCTTGACAACTCGTTCTCTTTCAGCTCGAAGTGGCTTGTGAATGAAGCGAATCATGTCGAGGAGGAGAGAAAAAAGAAGCGCCACAAGGCTGAGCCTGATGGATGGAAGGCGAGGCGGCGACGCGTCATCTGTCTCTGTGGCTGTGGTGCTTCAAAACAAATGCTCACGTGCTCAGCCGCTGGAAAGAGGGACTTCTCCCAGCACCCGCTGCCTATTGTTTTGCATCATGCCAGGAGGCAGATGTGGCAGGATGGGCCGCCACACAGGAGGACAGGGGATGCAGACCTGGGCAGCCGGAGACTTCCTGACAATTTCATCCCTTTTCTTGTCCATACTATGACTGATACCGATACCGGTGCCCACATGTTTTGCAGCTTTGACAGGAAGTTCAGGTCAGGGGTGCTGGGAGGTCCTGCGACGTCCTTGTCTTTCGCCGATTTGTTGCTACTCTCTATCACTTCTTTTCCTTTTGACTTCGTTTGGTGTCACCCCCATGGATCTTTGATCCAGATCAACCGTGCGCCAGGATGGGACGCAGGCATCCACGGCACCCACCGTCGGATTCATGTGGCGTTGAAGGGTTCTGGCGAGTCATGCTGCAAGTCTCCAATGATTTGATGAGCAGTAAGCTCCCTTTTCATTTGTATGCTGTATGCATGATAATATCATCAAAAGTATCCAATTTTGAATGCGCATCTCATCCAGTACTGTTTAAATCAGATTAAATCTTGTTTAAGACAATTTATCCCAAAACAAGAGACCCTAAACAGTGTGTGTGAGGTCTTAGACACCGGTGCTGAACTACTACCGGTGCTTCCACCCACCCTACCCCCATCCAACCGATGACCGCCGCGCGGACCGTGGCGGTCGGACGCAGGTCCCAAGGCCGAAGCAGCGCGTCTGGGAGCCCGGAGGGGTGGATGGGGAGTCCCGGTGGCGGGCGAAGACGAAGCAATTCCAACCGGACTAAGACAGCCCTACAAACGCATATTTCAAAGGACGTTCCGAACGACTGCCGCACAGCTATGACGCAAAAGAACAAGATGTTTTATGCGCTTCTTTTCACGGATGTTTCTTTTTTGAGACGTTTTCGACCTTCTATTGTGCTGCATTTGGCTTTTAGGGATGTTTAGGGTTTGAATGCAGGTTGGATGAGATCTATTAAGATCTATTCATGTACTGCATATCTCATTGAGAATGCAAAGGGTCTCCCTCGTCTCCCCTAGGCTGAGCCGGTCGAAGAGCTCAGTCCTCTGGACGACGACGAAACCGAATTGGATAGGCGACGTCCTCGTCGCCGCGCCTCCTGGTCGACGGGAGGGGGGGTCGACCGGATTGGTCGGGGTGAGGTGGGGCGAGGTTGAGGGCGGAGGGTTTTGGGTGAGGGGCGGACCGTCTTTGAATCAGCTTGAACGTGGGCAAATGAGAGCTGGGATTCAAGAGCTGGGAGGTTGAAAAGCCGGCACGAAAGGCGATGTTTGTGGATACATTTATATAGGACAATAGCAATTAAATCCCAAGAATCCCAAGTTAGTCGATATGTGAGTGATGTATATATAGCCAATGACCCTCAACTCTTGCCATGTCTGACTTCCACCCGTGCTCTCGCCAGGCTTCTGGCTGGAGCGCCTGCGGTCGTGGCGCCCGTGACCGGGCGTTCCAAAGCGATGGCGAAGCCGCCCCAACGAATCCCGGTCCCGAGCAAGGACGGCGACCTGGGAAGGGACCGGCGCTGGGAAGTCGGGCGGTCAGGGGGCGGACGGCTCGTGAAGAACGCCGCGCTGGCCGCGCTGTTCCGCGGAAAAAAAAGACAGACTTGCTCTTGGTTTGTGAGTGGCGTTTGGTGGCAGTGGCTTCAGATGCCGAATCACATGTCTACTCAAACACTTACAGTGACTTAATGAAATGCCTCATCCAGTCATCCATCCTCATCCATCCGAATGACCTAATCTGTTTTTTTGGGATCGAAATTGCCTGTTGCATGTGTTCTCCCGTGTCTCGCCTGTGACTGGAAGTTTCTGGCTGAAGTAGTTTTGCTAAGCAGAGCGCTTCTTGTGGGATTTAATGTGTACATTCTGACTGCAAGAAGGCTTTGCACAGAGCAGGAGCTACTAATTGGTGGTCATGTTTGTTTCTTGAGGTTTTGTGTGTCAGGAGCAGGAGACAGAGCTAGACAGACTTTGTGCTTGGAGTGACGACGAGGTGTGCTATGTTTCTCTGTGATTCATTGTCTCAGATTGTTTGCTCTCTCGCAACTTGTGTACTCGCGCAAATACCATCGCTTCGGCACTCTTTTGCAGTGCCTTTGTGTTTGGTGGAATTCAGTGACATGTTTAGCATCCTTTGTTGACAGCTTAACAGTCTTCTTGAAAGAATTCTAACAGCGTGCGTTTGCCAGGGCAAGACACCACATGCTCAGCCAAAGCAGCGGGCAAGACACGACAAGAAGCTGGAACCCAAGAGCAGTGAGGATTGACGAGTAAAGTCTAGGCAAAGGGTGCAGGAGTCGGGCATGCGCCAGAACCAAGTTCCCCCAAACCACCGAGTCCAGGTCCGTTGGGTCTTTGGACTTCTGGTCTCTGAACGTGCCAGACCAAACACCTCGTCACCTCGTCCAACGAATCCCGACGTCCGACGTCCGAGGTCGCCGACCTCCGATGCCACGGAGCCGCCCTCCGACGAAGCCACGGAGCCGCCCAGCGAGCCGAGGCGCCGAGCCGAGCCGCTCCCGCCCCGGGGGGGTCAGGTCGATTGGTCAAGACCGGAGGCGAGGACTTCGGCTTGATACACGCATCAGGAGCAATGAACCTGAAGAGTGCACCCATTGCATCAATGCACCTGACCTTTGTTGGTTTGTTTGAAGAACTAGAAGAGTACTACACGCATGCAAGGGTGCTTTGGTGGCTCGGACATTGTCAGGTCTCAAGAAGAAGTTGAGCTGGAGCCAACTTCAATGGTGGACTCCGAGGCCACTGTTCAAAGGTCTGAAATCATTTAGCCATCGCTAGGAATCAGGAGAGTTAGATCTCAGATCTTCACGTTGCACCAAACTGAACGTCGCTTCCACCTTCCACAGGGTGAGGCGGCCGCGGCCGAGAACCTCTTGGTGACCACCGCTCGGCCCAAGATGAGGGCGCGTCCTGGGAAGTCCAAGGAGGACACGTCGGCTGTGCTGTGGTGATCGTCGCACCCACACTGCGTCGAGAGCACAGTTATGCGGGTGCACCAGTGAATTCGGGTCGATCCACACGAGGTGACGAAGGCGTGATGAAGGGCTTTTTGATCTTTTTGGCATTGCAGTGATGACGCCATGCCCGAGGAGATTGAAGCTGAAAAGCAGCTGGAAGCCATCTACAGACAGGCATTGAGAAGTGTGTTTCTTGGTCAATGTGTGCGATTCAGAGTCTGCCACCTCCCACAATCATCTATATTGTGTCCAACTCCTTCTGTGGCACAATGTCCATCATGGCCGTGGATTTGGATCATCAGACCCAAAGACCTTGACAGACTCCTGGTCGAAACAGGCTCCTACATCCTAGCTTCATTTCATCACACCTCTTTCCCAGCCAGGAGGATGAACATCGAGGGGTGGCGGAGGCGCTTGGCCTAGCGTGCAACCTCAAGCCGGATGAACCTCAAGCTGGTGAGTGATCAGATCCCTCAAGCTGGTGAGTTTGGACCTCCCAATGGTGACCTGGCATGCCTATATAGGCCTAGCTCAGTGGCTTGTGCTGGGCGGTGGACTGGTCATGGCACCTGGAGCGCGACGGTTGTCCACCATGGGTCCGCGAGTCCGACCGACACCCTAGGTAGGCCAACCGCTTGGTACACTGGAGCCGTGTGGACTTGTAGAGATCACGGTATGTGTGTGCTCGCTTGCTTTACAAGGCTTTTCGTTTGCCTTTAAATGCCAATGGCATTTTTTTTGGTCCTTAGTCCTTAGCCAGACTTTGAGCCTTGAAGACTGAAGACCTCCCTCTTCTTGTGTTTTTCTTGTGCTGGAAGCTTCTGAAACACATGAGGCTGCCAGTGAGAAGTGGCCATCTCAGCTGGAGCAACACATTGCTATACATTACTGTACATTAGATAACTTATCAGACAACAACTTGAGCAATTGACAAGATTTACTAAGATTATATAAGATATATATATATATATACACATACATAATCAAATTTAGATACCCGCTACTTACAGGGTGGCATGAGCTCTTTGGGCTTCGGGTGAATGTTTGCCGTTGTCGGAAAGTCTTCATGGAGCTTGCTCAGAAAAAAGCCTTATTGAAGGTGTCTTTTGGGCCGGTTGGAGGCCATCATAGGCCATCGCTACCAGTAACAAGAAGCTACTAGTCACAGGTCTTGCTCGGTTGCTTTCTGACATTTTCAGATCATCCTTCCTTGTTACTATTAGCTTCTTGTTACTAGCATCGATGGCCTTCAACCTAATAGCGATGGCCTCCACCTAGTAGCTTCTTGTTACCACATATGGCCTTTTGATGCCTCTTGGCTTGAGAGAGTTCACCTGTCTTGTTCCAAACGACTGGAACCAGCGATGGCGATTTGTATCCCTTCGTGTGTTGCAACCGGAAATGTGGGCGTGATTCAAGCCTGTGGGGAGTATAAAGGGATTCAAGAGCCTGGCTGCATGTGTCTTTGCTTTCCCTGGCGCACGGTGAAAGTGGTGTCTATGGCAGTGGAGCAGATTCCGGTCAATTCAGACTGCAAGACCAAAGATAACGTCACCGTGACGGTGGTGACAGCTGTTCAGTACCGAATTCAAAAAGACAAGGTGAAGGTGGCCGTGTTCGACATTGCAAACCCCGAGAGTCAGATCCGAGCCGAAGTGGACAGTGTTCTTCGATCGACTCTTCCTACCTTGACTCTGGATGAAAGTTACGAGGCCAAGGAGAAGATGGTGGCTGAAATCTTGGAGTCAGTGAAGGAGCCGATGGGTCGGTATGGCTATGAGATTATCAATGTCTTAGTGACCGATATCCGACCTGAGAAATCCGTTTTGAAGGCCATGAACGACATCAACGCCTCGCGGAGGCAGCGAGAGGCGGCCTTTGAAAAGGGAGAGGCCAGGGGGGGGGCAGTGGGCCGTCACCGTTGGAGCTGGGTGCGCGGATGGGAATCCCTGGATGGTCTAAGTACCTTCTGAGAAGCCCCAAACCATGTGGTTGAGGTTGAAACAGGAGCTTGCACGATGCACTGATCCATATATCGTATATATATATATATAAGGGTCTGTCCTAATACCTGTAACAGTCAGTAAACAATTAATACGTATCATCATTTTTGAACAGGGACTTTACTAACCATCATCATCCACTATTACAGGTAATAGGATAGAACTAATATATATATATATGTATAGTTTGGTTGTGAGCCATGACTGAAGCTCTACAGCATGTGTTTCACCCATGCAAGTCCATTCCATTGCGTTGATCGTTTACTTTTGATAATTAGACATGTATATAATCATGTATACCATCAGTTTCCATTAGCACTGAACTCGTACTCAACCAGCCCAGCACTGTACTCAGAGCTGCCGAGGCCGACAAGCTTCTGAAGATCAAAGCCTCCGAAGCGGACGCCGAAGCGAAGCGCCTCGCGGGTGTCGGCATGGCCCAAATGCGCGCTGCGATGGCCGAGGGCTACCAGGATTCGATGATGTTCATGAAAGAAAGCGGCATGTCCGAAAAAGACGCGAGGCTCAATTGTATATTTGGGAAATGATGTAACTATTGAATATGTTAGTAAAAGGCACCCCCGAAGAGTATCACCGCCACAAACAGTAGTAGTAGTAGTAGCAGTAGTAGCAGTAGTAGCAGTAGTAGTAGTAGTAGGAGTAGGAGTAGGAGTAGGAGTAGGAGCAGGAGTAGTAGGAGTCGGAGTAGGAGTAGGAGTAGGAGAGGAGGGGTAGTGGTAGTGGTAGTGGTAGTGGTAGTGGTAGTGGTGGTGGTGGTAGTAGTAGTAGCAGCAGTAGTCGTAATCGTAGTCGTAGTCGTAGTCGTAGTCGTAGTAGTAGTAGTAGTAGTAGTAGTAGTAGTAGTCGTAGTAGTAGTGGAAGAGATAAGTAAGGATTTGAAAGGGCAGCTATAATATAGTAAGATTTTTCGCGTAGGGCTCCAAGTTTGCTTATAAATCCCACCCCAGAAATAATTGTGCACCACCCCCTTGAACAATTGTTTGGAGCAATGGAATCGTTGAGTTTTAAGAAACGATTTCAAAGGGCAGCAATAGCAGAACAATAAAAACGTTAGATTTTTTCCCGTAGGGCTCCAAGTTTGCTTATTCATCGCACCCCCTAAACAATTCATACCCCTGGGTTTGTGTACTACCCCCTTGAAAAGTTGTTTGGAGCAATGAAATCGTTGAGTTTTAATAAGCATTTTTGAAAACGACTTTCAGGTAAGAATTCCATGAATCAAGCAAACCTCAGGAGAGTGAAGTAAGGATGTTAAAGGGTGAGCAATAGCAGAACAATAGAAAAACACACACATCGCACAAAAACACACTGGGTGAAAACACACTTTTTGATTCCGACCCATTAAACTAATCAGGGTGTGTGTGCATAATTTGGTCAAAACTTTTATTATTCCGTCCCAATTTACTAATTAGGATGCAACATTACAAGTTACAACAATATATCATATCAGCATATATCAGCATATATCAGCCATTTGAATGCATTGTTCCGAATGTAATGGCAAGTAGCCAGCAGCAGCACTAGCACTAGCACTAGCACTAGCACTAGCACCAGCACTAGCACTAGTCACTAGCACTGGCAGATACTGGAAGTAAGTGCATTTGAGTATATAGCAATTTTTGTCCGACTTCTCCCAACATCACCAAGGAAGCCATGCACATGATGATTCTGACTCAGTACCTGGACACTTTGAAGGACTTTGCTTCAACTCACAACTCCATCGTGGTCCCCCATGGCCCTTCAAGTGTCGGTGGCCTCGAGTCGCAGATTCGTAGTGGGCTCCTGACCTCTGCCGCTCCTCAGCAGAAAGCCATGAAGGGCGCCATGTGTGGCGCCGCCTAAGGGCAACGGGGCGAAGACCGCCCGGTGGTTTCACCGCGTCCAAGACGAAGTAGCGATTCTTTGTTTCGATGTTGAAGGTTAGTTGAATCAATGTATTCAACCGGTGGGGTTCTTTGCCTCAAGGACACAACTGAGAAAACATCCTGTTGCGAGATCCCAAAAGGAGTGTTTGTTGTTTTTTTCATTAGCCTTTCTTCTTGAGGTAATTTGAGGTATATTACAGTATATTCCCAGGATCCATTCACTGAAGGGAGTTTGAGACATACATGCATCCGTGCCATTTGTCTTGAGGCTGAGCGCTACTGAGGCCACACTGACCGCGGTGGTTGAGATGGATGGGAACATATGGGAATTCTACTCTTGGGAAGGGAAGCCAATGATAGGCTATGACGCTATGCCACTTATGACTTATGACCTCTTACGACAGAATGACTCCACCAGCCAAAGCAGTGTTCATCCTGAGGGGCAAACTCTGCGTTGCGCAGCTCAAAGTCCCATGGTCAGACCGCCTGGACTCATGGCTTTTGGAAAGCTGGCCAGTTTAGAAGTTTAGATTTTAGATGCTGTCATATCTGGAAGTGCAAGAGTCTGAACAAGCACTCAGTGGCTCAGCAGCCAAAAGTGTAGGTCCAGATGGGACCCTCCGTTTGAGATTGACCGCAGGAACCCTCAGAGCCCGAGTCAGCCAAGGACGACTCGTTGTCTCGACCTTTGGGGGCCGCTTTCTCCGCTCGGAGACCACGCCCTCGGTCGCCGGTTTCGGCCTCCAGGAGTCCCGTTCCCCTCAGGCACGGTGCCGGCTGGAGCAGTTCTTGGGGAGTGGAGTGGGTCTGATGGGTGCCCCATGAGTGACAAACGCCCACGAACCGCTGTTTGAATTGAACTATGTGGTGACGTGATGAGAACCCATGAGTAGCGAAAGAGCAAAAACATGCAAAAACAAGATTTGATGTCCTGCACTTCTGACACAGAACTTGCGCAACGTCCTTGGGTGATCGAACCACTTCGCTGCACTTGGTCGTTCTTTCCTGGGTCGTTAAGATCAGGTGATGCAGTTCAGCATTTCCCTGGCACAGAGGACCACGAGGTTTGGGCAGGTATTTGGAACCAAGTAGTGTAGTCAATGTGTGTTTCATGTCGGCCGCACGGCTCTGCCAGGCGCCCAGCCGCAGCAAAGCCATGGCAAGGCCCAAGCAGCGTGCGGAGGACGCCAAAAGCCCAGGTATGAGCTCCTGCAGTCAATTCAAGGCTGCAGATGTTGAGCATGTCTATGGCATTGGCTCAATTGGCTCTTAAAATTTCAACAGCCGGGGGCTTCTGGTACACCAAGAGTACGGGAATTCAATTTGGAATTGGACAACGGCCACTACCGCTGAGGTTTTCGTTAGGCAATCCCGCGAAAATCCAGCCAAGCATTGTGACGGATTTGCAATTACTGCGCCACCTTGCTCTCGCGATTTAGTATACCCACCAGGAGTCACATGTCGGGGTGCCCACTATCCACTCACTTGGGGACTAAAAACCACCCCGACATGTGACTCCTGGTAGGCATAGTTTCTTTGCCAAAACACGTGGCTTTTGTACTTCTTTGAGCCTTGGCAGATGCAACCAAAACGCGGCGACAAGTGCAGGACTTGATCATCGACTTGCCGGAAAAGCGGCCCAGATTAGAAGAGGCGAAAAAAGGGACGGAGTGTTTTGGTTCCAGTCACAGCCGTAGTGGTCAGGGTGACCCACAGTAGGTTCACAACGGGGAATTACATGCTCAATTTTGCTGCCAGAGCTACTGGTCCGGTCAACTCGTTGGCCAATCTGATTGTTTGGAGTGCAGCTTCTTTAAAGTCCTGACAGCCGTGAGGCTAGCGACCAGATACCTTGCGCTAGACCAAAGCAGCGGGCAAGGATGAACCAGGACACAAGATGGGCTTCTCATGCGCATTTGCTGCATGACCTTTGGAGTTCTGCGAACAAAGTCTTGTCATGCCAGGAGATCCGCTTCCGCTTTTTAGACAGAAACGGGACCTAGCCGAGGAGGCTCCGATGTGGAATCAGGTGCGTTCGCAAGTTGCCCTCAGCACAATCAGTTCTGGATGTGGTCAGAACTTAAACGCCAAACAAAGTATATGGCACTGTAGAAATCTGTAGCATGACTATGACTATGACTAACTATGGTACTGGTATATACGTCCTGACTATGATTATGACTGTAGCATGATTTGTGTGTTGATCAGTGCATTTCAGGGTGTCCAACTGCTTCCGCTCGTGCAGGTCAACACGCAGCAAGCGAAGTGAGGGATGGCCGACACCTCAGCAACGTGGGCAAAGAAGTGTTCGATTGAATTGAGGGATGGTCAGAACGAATTGCGTCCCCTTAAATGACCATGACCATGACACGTGGGTATTTAACGTATACTATCACGTGCCTCACCCCATGCCCTAGCGGTAAATGCACTCCCAACACATTCCCAAGACTGACTCGTGCAATTTTCTCACCTAATGGGGGCGACTCAAGTCAGATTATGTTAATCGGCAATATGGTCGAGAAAAGAAGGGACTGGCCCGTGGCTCAAGGAAGGAAGGAAGAAGGAGAAGGAGGAAGGAATCCAGAGAGAGGGAAAGGGACGGAAGAAGGAAAGACAGCAGAGGAAACAAGTAAAGGGAAGGACATGTATAGTGCCACTGGCAGGACAAAAAGTGTCACACAACTCGCTCCAGCTTTTGAAGCCAAGAACAAGCCAACCAAAGTGGCCAAGGGCCAAGGGCCAGAAAAGCTCAAAGCCGACCCTTCTTTTGGGGGGTGCGTCAGTTTGCGGTAGATCTTGAAGGAGACACCGGAGACACCTTCTTGCCCGGTTTCTAGTATTTACCCTTTCCTTTCCCTTCTTACTTTCCTTTCCTGGGGATCGACCCAGCAAACTTCCTTAGTAAAGTCTGAAGCTTTTCAGAGGGGTCACAAATGGGTGTTCGATGGCCCATACAGTAGGACCCCATAGGTAGCCCATAGGGTGTGTAACTTAGTGACCATAGCGGCATAGCCCAATCTTTGCCATGGACAACATCCATACCGTCTCACTCGTTCCAACTCATTGCTGACCGCTGTGCACATGGCCCAGGCCAAGGCGAAGGCCGGCAGCCTCAAGTCCCACGCATCACTGAACTGGCAAAAGATTAGAATCCCACAATCACGAGAAGACATCGATGACTACTATCAGCCATGGGGACCTTTGAGAATGAACTGGTGGAGTGCCCCAAGTTTCAACTGCTATCCTGCGACAAGAGGTGTGGATTCGTTTTGGGAGGTTCTGCTTAATATATATAGATGGAAGGGCCCAAATGGCCGGGAGGTGGAATGAAGGGTCATGAAGAGTGTGAGATGTACCGTAATCTCTACACATTGCAGTTTCGTTTGTAGTCAATGAAGTCTGTGGCATGACAAACAAGAGCAAGCACATGTGCCCAGGACGGGAAAGCTCGCGGAGAAGCAGGGCAGAACGTTTGATCGCGGACTGCGAAAAAGGAGCATGTTCTTTCTTGATACTGTAGCATCAGCATCTGTAGGTTTCATTATCACTAGCTCTCAGGAACCCCATGATGCCAGTGTGGTAACTGGATTCTAATTCGGAACTGGGTCTTCGACATGTCATGCTATTGAAATTGACCCTTCAACCCTTCGACCCTGACCGCACTACTTCAAGCTGTATGATTTGATATGCTTTTTCTTTTGCAGAAGGATGATCTCGCCTCATCACCTGTCGCCTGGGCCTGTCTCACTTAACCCACTGAAACATACTGAAACTACTTGGAACTACCAATTGGCAAGGGCGAGGAACAGCATTCCGCTGCGTACGCGAGGCGCGCCACGTCTTTCGATGTCGTCGGTCGAGTGTTTCCCGACGATGGGAACCCCCAAACTCACGACCGTCGGTGTGATCCAACCGTCGGTGCCACCCCCGGTCACAGCGCGCTGCCCTCCCTGCAGCCACTGGAGACGAACCCCCCCCCACGTCGCACAAGTGCGCCGCGCAGCTTGGCTGTGCTCTCCACACGCCTTGCTGCCATGACCATCGATCCGCAGATCATGGTGCAATGCGTTGGGGCCGTGGTGGTCTACTTCGCCGCGCGGATGTGCCACGCGGCCTTTGTGACGTCCATCGATGTTTGGTATTCGTCGCCGGCCAATCGACATCTCTACTTCAAGGCCTTTAAAGAGAAGCAGCCAGACAGAGAAGTTTCGCAAAGTTTCGCAGGTGTTTGTGGATGTTGATGCTGCTTTCAGAATTTCTGTATAGCTTCGTTTACCAGGGTGTTAATGTTCTAGTCACAGTCTTTTGTTGTTGATGTATGACGTGTGAGGGCAACACAGCTTGCAACACATGATGGATTTTGCACGATTTTGTTGATTGAGCGAGATCGTTCATTCTTACCAGACGGCACTAGGCAGCAGGGAAGATGGTGAAAGGCTTTCAGGCATGGTCTCTTCTTGAGCCTCATTCCATGCATCAGGTATCAAAAAACGGGGAAAGCGGACTATTCTGCGCTCATGAGGACCTGGGCAGATCCTATCGTTGGAATTTTACTGGATAGTTTTCCGACGACAGGAAGTCTCTTCAGAGAGTCATCGAACATGCACTCTAACGTACTGTACAGGTTCTCCAAACATACACTTTATAGACCCCAAGAAACCTTGCAAACGAATCACAAAGGACCACTTTCACAAACCACACGAGGGATTCAGCGGCAGAGCACGTCCAACGAACGAGCGCAGAGCTCGTCCATCGTTTCCACCGACGACACCGGACCGACAGGACGCACCCCGAGACCATCTCCCAGACCTTTGGCGATGAAGCGACCTCGGAGGGTCAAATGGTGAAGGCCGGACCGAGGAGACCGAGAGGAGACGGACGAAAGCCGGAGAGGATCCAAGGGCGATTTTTGGGGACGATTCTATCGGTTGTTCTTTTTGGACGTGAGCGCAAGAACATCAAGGATTGGAAGAGGGTATAAGATGAAGGCGTCATAATGTATCATGCACATTATTTTTGATTTTATATAATAGTCCAAAGTACATGGCTATACCATAGTCACTGAAATCTATCATCTGAGCACTCACCATTGCAGCCACAAATCACAGGTCGTGGGGTTGCCAAGGATGTTGGTCGGGGACCTTCTGAGCACTCACAGGTGTAGACTCGAAGACTGACATGACTGATCCACTTCCAATCCATTTCTGGTGGAGTCTGTTGTTTCCAAATGTTGGAAACCGTTTGAACTCGTTCGAACCTGATGGAGTCTCACTCACATCGACCGCTGCCAAAGGCGATGGTGCTGCCCAGCACGATCATCATGGCCATCGGCGGCATCATGATGCGCTGTGGAGGCCGCGGACACGTCGCGGAACGAAGCGCGAAGCCAAGCGCGAAGCGCCCGACGGGACAAGTGCTTGGATGCTTTGGTGGAGGGGCGGTTGAGCAAGAGGAGCGTATAGCCATAGACCTGACGAGCATGATGTGGGGATTGATCCACACCTCAAAGATCCGCAAAGCAATCATGTGTTCGGTGCCGAACATTTGATGCACCTCGATTTGCTGTGCCTGCGACTTCTCCTCTCAAACACAACATCACCAAAAATATGTCGCGTTTCAATTGTATTCATCATCATTCATCCAACATGTGCGGTTTCAGTATGCTAAAACCTCTTGCAACTGGAGGAATTTTCATGGCTTGCTGGTTGGACTTTCCTTCAGGTGTACAAGCGAAAGGATTGGGTGATCACACAAACGGACACCTGTGTGCGTGGGCTGGACAAATACAAAATACTGTAACACAAAACCAACTAAATCTGAGAAGCACACACACACACAAGAGGCAAGGCAGAATTACCTGCGATAGATATTCGCAGCATAATGAAGCGTATTATGTACTATGTTATGCCTGTCGTTTGAGGTGCATGAAACGCACTTTTCTCCATCACATGGTGCTGGTGGCTTAAGGAAACAGTAAACAAGCCGTCGTGTCCCTTAAGGCAGGTGCGTCAATCATGATGAGGCAAGCTTTCCAATGTGCCTGTTCTCACATGCTTGCAGGCTTGACCAAAGATAATGGAAACTCATTGAACACTGCAATGAACACTGTCATATCATATCATAAAATATCATAAAATACCTCACTGTGTCTATTGCATCCCTCTTGCCTTCTATTGGATTCTTTCGATTCGATTCTTTCCATCACATGAAGCGGTCGTCCAAACACCTCTCCATGGTCGACCACGTGAAAGGTGAAGATATGTGGGGCTTCATCTTCCATGCCGCCCGCGGCTTAATGACGCCCTTCGGCCTGCTGATGGTGCTCCAGACTCCCGTGGTCTCCGGTGCCGGGGATGGCAACCGGGAGATCCGCGAGGGGAGAGCCGTCTCCAATGTGGAGCTACTGTATCAGCTGAACTGGGCGACTCGGACCGGAGACCGGAGGGCCCAAGGGTTGAGAGACCGGAGAGGACCGGAGGAGGTCGATGCCGTGTGCAGAGACTGGACTGACTTACTGTAGACCTTGGGAGTGTTCGATTGACACATGGAGAGGCTTGTCTTCAAAAACAAAATTGGACTTGGTTCATCCTTTATAGTCGGCTGCTTCAAGGTTTATGCTAGGATATGTCGGATGAGTATGTATGTGACCATATTAAACACCACTATATGGGCCATGCATCTCATATTACACAGGAATTTAAATAGAGGAACATCACTCAAGTGCACTCTTGCATGTAGTTCCTCTGGCTTTGTACCATGTTTGTTTCCAACATCTGTATTATTTCCCAGAAACAGGTTGAGTTTCTGTTCGGGGTCCCATGTCTTTTGACGTGAGGTCATCTTGCACTTCTTGGGCTTTGCCGCCTTCCTGGGGCCCGTGGTCTTGATTGAGCTCCCCGTGGCCATCATCGAACTCGTCAACTCGGAGGGCTTTGTGGGCAGCTTCAACGATGATGGTTGGTTAAAGAATGCGCGGATGGTGTTGATCATCATGCGGATCTTGTGCGCGGTCTTGCTGGTGGTGGCTGCACCCTTCTTGGGGAAGAGTAAGACACGGAATCCCAACACCTTGTCTGCCTTGAAGTGGAGAGCCGAGTTTGATGTAGGCGAATTTGGGGCCAGTCAGATGTACTTCAATGCCTTGAGTGTTTGGCTTCAGCCGGGTGTTGGGCCTTACAGCACTGCAAGCTGCCCTTTGCAAGAGCAGATTTTCAGGTCTTGTCATCTCTTGTTCGATGAGTTTCATATATGTTCCAGGGTTTTCAACCGTTCCCAACAAGTTTCTTTTGACCTTCGCAGCTCCAAACACCCAGCCAACTTGCCAACGGGCCGGGCTTCAGCTCCGGCCCGACCTCTCGCGTATCCTCCCGACCACTCGGCGTACCCGATCCCCTTAGGTGAGCTTGGTGATCTTGGCCCTTTTGGCCTTGGAAGCGTTTCGGATCTTCTTCTGCCATGCCGTTTACTGGTTGGTGGTCATGTGCATGTGGGATTCCATCGATTGGTCCGCGCAGATGAAGTTGAGTGTGCCAGCGAATGGCCCAGTGATGCAGGGATTGAGAGAGGTCACCAATGATGAGTTGGTGTTCCTTCATGCGGTCCAAGCAGGTGTCCCTGACTACACTGAATCGCTCCTTGGCAGACTTGGATGTGTTCCTCGGGCTTCGGACACCGGAGGCAGTGCCGTCGCCGGGTCTGGTGCACGGTGCATCCGACAGGTGTAGGCAGGACAGGTCGGAGATGGTCGGATGCCTAGGTCGAAAAGCACCACGACCCGACCCGAAGGGGCCGAATCGACCGGCCCGAGGATCGCGAAGGTGCCGGGCTACATTCCTGCCAGCAAGGTGGCCACCGGATGCAAGTACCCACCGATCAAGCTCTTGGTGCTGAAAGCGGACGCTCTGCGCCGCAGTCTGCGGGGCATGCGGGTACACGCTGGACATGATTATCATGAATGGAGGGGATGTTCATATAATGGAATTTACAGGGGGGAGGGGAGAGAAAGGGAGAGAGAGGGAGAGAAAGGGAGAGAGAGGAGAGGGAGGGAGAGAGGGAGGGAGAGAGAGAGAGAGAGAATGGAAGAGAATGTCAGGATGATGAAGGAATCCTTGAACTGAAATTGTACAGTAGTAGTATAGACTCAAAAGAACCCATGCCTTTTCGTGTTTCTATGTGATATTCGTACCCGGGTTACCCGCCAGTACTTTGACCCCTCTCGGAACATTTGTCCAGTTCTAGTTCCCGAGCATGTCAAACCGGGGTGTGACATCTCAAGCCTAAGAAACACATAGAAACACACATAGCAAGCTTGTCCTGGCTTGCATTGTTTGAGGAGAACTATGAGAACTTCCGAGCCTTGGACATTTGGGACCTGGCCAAGGATGACGTGGAGAACTGGAATCAGGACCTCGCACGCGTGCTGGGCTCCTTGAAGTCCTCCGACACCCTGTTTATCCCCTGTGCGGGATACAAGATGGACCAGCAGGTGCCAAAGATGTTATTGTCTCTGAATGACTATGAAGGAGATGTGGAGTACTTGGGCGTTACGCCCAATGAGATGACTGTGCCAGAGTCAGACACTGACGCTGGGACGGCTGGTATGAAAAAGGCATCTTAAAATGGAGGATTGCCCCACCGCGGCTAAGTCTATCTATATAAATCATTCTAAATCTAAATTTCGCAATATTTTGCCTAGAAAGGCGCCTCAGAGAGCTTTCGATAGCTGTAGTGTCAGAAATCCTGCTTGGCTGTCTGGAATCCCTTTTCGCCTGATTGAACGCGAACGTGCCGGACCTTTGTTCGACGGGTTTAGGGGGAAACAGCGGGGCACAGATCCTGATCTTCCAGGAAAGGAAGGACATGAATGGACTGTCAACATTGATTTCCTATGGTTTCCTATGCTTTCGTGTGTGGTCTCCTGTGTGGTTTCTTCACCAAAATTGGTGACCTAAGGACATCGCGTTGGACCTCACCTCGAATTTTCTGGGTGATCCCCGCTGTGCCTTCCTGACGCGGGGCTCCTTCATTGAACCCTTGCGCGCTGGCGCCCTCACGGACTTCTACAAGGCGGCGGCGGTGTGGTCCTGCAGAGCAGGAAAAACATGTAAACACCACACTGACGTGTAGTGTTTGAGATGTTTTTGTTGTTTTTTTGTTGGTTCGCTTATTCTATATAGCTGCATAAGACATGTCGAGAAATGAAAACGATTCGTTTCGGCACTCTCCAACTTCTCAACTCCATTCTCACCATTTTGGCACACCCACCATAGTCCTCTCCTCCCGGTTGAATGAGTCACTCCACCTCTCACATCCACCGAGCGGTGAATCGGCCGCAGGTGGTGGCGGAGATCGGTCTCCAGATCGAAAGCTCCGTGAAGGCCGCCGGGTGCAGAAACGGGCAGAACAACTGCGGTCGAAAGTCCGCCAAACCATCACGTGGATGATGAGTCTTAGGGTCCAAACCAAGTAATTATGCCAAAACCAAGTCTCAAATTCTTCAGTTGGTCCACTCCTGTCCATACACCGAGCTGCCCACGAAGGCGGTGGCAAAGGCGACGGACCTGGACTACGAGAGCGAGGAGGCCTCGGACGAGAGCGACGCCGATGCGCCGCTGTCGCTGGGCGACGGAGAAAGGGGGGTGAAGTGAGAGTGAGAGTGAAGTGGCAGTTGAAGGGTTCCAAGATGTGGAATTACACCAGCATTGTTTGCAAGGGATTTGACGCATGTTTTCTAGAAAAACACTCTGGCCCAAGTGATCCTGAAAAGCTGTGGTGTTTGCACGGAGGGTTTGTGAGACGACCTTGTATACTATAGTTGTTTGGCGCGCAACATGCTTACACACATGTTCAACCAATTACAGTATATAGTGCGGAGGACTGTTGAGGCTTTCCAAAACTGTTGGTGAAGTCATGCTATTCCGCAGGAGAGCAGACATCGCAAGGATGTGGTAAATGGCTTTACTGCAAGACTTGCAACCATGATGACCATGATAGTTGAAAGGTTGGACGAACAAATTCTGAGGCTTGGAAACAGACAACTGTCGAATTAGATGATTTTTTGAAGATGTCGACGACGGACTTTGAACTTTTGAATGCGCTGAGCGCCTTCGATTTGCTCGCCACTTCACATTGCTTGAAGCCAAACACCTCAGAGAAAACACCTCAGAAACCAGAGACGCCCGACTTTCTGAGGTTGACGCCCTATGGGAGCATGGCCTATGAGATTCAAATCCGGGCGTTGCGTGGGCCCTCCCCTCGCATGGTGCTTCGGATGCCCAAGACCCAAGCGCTCCCTGCGGGCTGGCAGCACCTGCAGCGCGTGGAGCCCTTCCCGGCCTCTGCCAAGTGAGCGGAATGGTCGATGAAGACAGAATGTTTTGGAGATGGCCTAGGAGATCCTAGATTTGGATCTTTGATTCATTATGATTCTAAGTTTGAAAAAAAAGCGATTTGTGGAAACTGAGATGCTAATTCTACGGAGGAGCACTGCTAATGCCCATTTTTGAGCCCATGCAGCATGGGACTAGGGCTACCAGCCATGTAGTACCAGCTACGAGCGTTGGAAACCATCGACGATGCACCGGATCAAAGTCATCCCTTTGTGATCGACTTTGCGTAGGACTATTAATTCAGATTAAGTAATTCATGGAAGGTGAACATGAGGCTTTGGTGTTCAAGACAAAGAAATCGCTTGACCAATGACAGCCGACAGCTTCAACAAAAGATGCAGCTGCGCGGAGAGTGCCAGTACGACCAGCAACCCCGACCAGCAACCTGAGTACGAAACAAGCATGCCCGCCGTTGCAGGTACGTCAGAACACCAGCTGAACGTCAGAAACCACCCGAAACAGCCTGCCTACGACGTTCGGCCTGTCTATGACCAGTTTACTGATTGCTGCATGGCTCATGCCGCTGCTATTTCCAGCTTGGACTCGGACTCCAAGGACTCCAAGGACAGATGTCAGAACCAGCTATGCCACAGATGCTACTTATACAGATGCCTAGGTTATGGGTAGTCTAAGAATGTCTAAGAGGTCAGTGTGTTGACATGACATTCAGAATCACTCACTATAGATCATTCATCATTCATCATGATATGATATGCGTGAATTGCATCGTTGTGCATGAGCCCAACGTGACATGATTCAAGCATTTAATGGTGAATGCCATGTGGAACGAAGAGCCCCCACAATTGAGACACTATAGGTTTAGCCAGAACTCAAGACGCAGCGTCTCTGGCTGCCTGTATGCATGCCAAGTTGTCCGGATCTTGAGTGCTTGGGAAACATGTAGCAGCAGATCACTTGGCTGCGAAAGCCCTGAGGCTGCTCTTGCTATGAAGTCGCGCGGGACCCAAACATATCTTCAGCGGTCCGGTTGGGCGCTTGCGGTCCGGTTGGTCGCTGTAGATTTCTAGGGCTTTGGTTTGAGAGAAGTTGCCAGTGGCCCCTTTCAATTCATGCTCTTGTGAAGCAGAATTGACTAGTTGTAAGCTTACACTCACATGCCCTGCAGACCCTGTCCATGGCATACGTGCCTTGAGGTTAACGTCTGAAAAGCGTGAGGACCCGTACGAGCAGAGCATTGTTCATCCTATTCCGTCAATGTGAAGGTTGTACTTTTACAGCATTGTATAGCAGCTGACTCCAGTTCCACCATCAATCAGTCAAATAGTCCTGACATGTCCTGGGCCAGGTGTCCATCATGCTATATAATGCATTTGATTTTATAATTACATTCTGCACAGCTGACTGCCCAATAAGCACTTTCCTTCTCTCCGGTTTTCGTGTTTGTTGCGCCTGACCCTTTGGGATCTGCAGGAACGCACAGTCCACGTGTCCAAGTCCAGCGAGGCCAGATGCGGAACTTGCACGGAACTTGGGGGGGGGCGCATGTATTTGGAGCAGGTTTATTTTGAGGGGAATGTCCCAACAAAAGGATTACTTACTCTAGCAAGAACGCCAGATGGCACCCATGGACCATGCATGTGGCAAGCGAATGGGAAAGCTAACTGTAAACAGATCTGTGAAGAAAGACCGGCGGCCGGCGAAAGCTAAGAAGCCACTGACCTGTCCAAGATTTCGTTGCCTCAATCAGCATTCAGGCATCCATGCCACAGTAACAATAAAGCTATTAGTAACAAGTGCATCGCTTGTAGTAACAAGTGCCTTACTAGTAGTAACAAGGACGCTAGTAATAACAAGAAGCTACTATAGGAACAAGTGCATCGCTAATAGGAGCAAGGGCCTTATTAGTAGTAACAAGAAGCTACTAGAGTTTGTATTTGCGATTGCAGAGCGATTGCAGAGCGACGAACGAAATACACGACGGACGACGGGAAGAGTTTCGTGGACCCGGAAGCGCCGGAAGCTCGCCTCGCTCCCCCAAACGACGGACCCGGATGACCTGGAAGCTGTGAGGCCAATGGCTTGAATCGGCTCATGCCTGGAGAGCCCAGATGTTCGTTCCGTTGGAGCCAAGAGTATCCCAGAGTGCTGGAAGAAAGGCATTACTTTTTTTGATGTGCTGCACTTGCAAGGGCTCGATTCGTTTGCAAATGCTTGTCATGATCTTCGTGAGAGCTCAGGCAGGTTTCTCTTTATAGAGCGTATAGAGACAATTGCAGAAGAAATCGATCGCCTGACTCCTTCGGACGCGGTTTGTGTTTATGTTTGCGGCTAGTGCCTTGTTTGCGTCAATGGGACCCTTTTCGTACTCGAAATGTGCCATAGATCAGAAGGATCATTCACAGGTGCCTGTAGATGTCCTTCCAGGGACCCTGAAATCGCAAAGCGAGACCACCAGCACTAGCCAATCCAGCCAAGGATGATCAAATGATTTACGACCTTTTTGATTGCTACATGCATGCACATGCTACACATCAAGCATATCCAGTAATTTCTGTGCGCGTCTTTCACGACGTTTTGCTCGCCATGTCGGGGACGCCTGCAAAGGTGCAACACAAGGTGGGGGCTTGGGACTGCCAATGTCAGTCTACAGTGATCAAAGGGAGTCTTTCAGATTTTACAGTGACCAAAGTGACCAAAGGGAGTCTTTATTCTTTTGGTTACAGCTGTGCACTGTACATGCGTATGCTGGATTGCTTGGTCGATTGGGAGCACCGACACGTTGAAGATCAAAGCACAAGGCCACCGTGGTTCACCCGAAGACACCGTTCGCCTCGTCGCCGCCTCGTTCACCTTGCGGAGCTTCAGCTCGGGACCGGTCAAGAGCGTTACACCATGTTACACCATGGATTTTCCAACTCCACTGGATTACACGACCGTGTTTTTTTCTTCCCCGTGTCACTACACGAATGACGATGAGGCCGAGGTGTCACATGGCGGGGTCTCCACGCCGCCCCACGTGGCTCCAGGTCAGCTTTCACGACGATCTGGATGACCTGGAGGACACCAGATTGATGAAGCAATGAGGCTTTAATTAGTCGCGGTGGTTTGAGCTGGAGTCACTATCATGACGAAGTGTTCTGCCAATCATAGATGTGCCTCCAGCTATTTGGGGCAAGCCCCTTTTCCTTCTTCTTGGCCTCTCTTGAGAATTTGTGATGGTCTAAACTGAGTGTTCAGTGTGGTGTGCTCCAATGCTTGTGATTATTTTCACATCATGAAAGTCATGTGTGTTACATTGCCGCATCTGGCCGTTAAATATGGTGCATGTCCCTGATATGCTCCCCAATTTTATACAAGATTCATCAATGTCAATGTTGCACAACCATGTCAATGTTGTCAATTCTAAAGCTGAAGCCTATGGACCCGGTCATTAGAGTCGCCAGCGCAACCTACGCAACCTGACCCGGAAGACCCATATCTCGACGAGTTAGGAGAGCCAATCAAAGCCTAAGCTCCAACAGAAGGCGAAAGGGTTTGATGTCCGACATGTTCCGAATGTCGTGGGTTTTCTGTTTTTATTGTTTTTCCTGTGGAAGATGGAGTTTGTGGAGCTTTGCGAATTTTGAGGGTATACCCATGGTTTACTTTGTAGCATACCTACAAACCTTCAAAAGATATCAGAAGATTAGAGCTGAGCACTTTCAGGAGTGCTTGCGGAGGTTCCACCACCAAAGACATCCGCAAGCTTTCACAACAGCAAACATGCGTTGCGCGAGCGACATGTCAGTCACCCAGGCTCCTGGAATAAGGGTGTTGGTTGATCATGAAATGAGCTAGTGAACATTACATCAACACCTGTGACCTGTGCACAATTTGAAGGTATTGACCCAAAAAGCTTTGCCTAGACAAATCACTGAAGAAACAACCACGTTCTTCCTGTCTTCAAAGTAGGTGAGAGGCTTTCATACTGGCACAGGGTAAACTCCCAGCTGTTTGGTGGTCCACCATTCGTTTGTCAATTTACTGCGCAATGCTGCGCATATCAGACTATCATAATATATATATATATATTATATATTATAATCATAATTTAGCGTGTCGGTCCAGAAACATTCTCCATTCGTTCTCTTTGTTTCGGACTCGGGCGTTGACAGGTAAGCTTTCACGCAGGGCTGGAGGAGGACAGCAACGACCGTGAGGAGCGAGCTGAAACGACGTCATAATGGCGGACTGACCACCTTTGTCTTGTAGATTAGCCATAGATCATGCCATATGACTGCATGATTCCAAAGGCATGAGGCTTGGCGACGAATCTAGTCACCTCGCCTAAGAATATAGCTCGTGCTAGAGAAGGAACAAAGACTGGGCTTTGGACTGGGTCCTTGGCAAATCTTGGAAAAAAGTATAGATACTCAGACTCAAGTCATTTTTGAGGGTCCCCGTTTTGAAACCCTCTCATCCCACTTTTTGTTTAAACCGACACCATTTTTTAACCGTCTCAGCCCTTTTTTTGACGCTCTCCGAAAAGCAGTCCCTAGAACCCCTTCTTTTTAACCACCAAATTGTGTTTTTAACCCCTAACCTCTTTTCTTTAACCACCCGACCTTTGTTGAATCCCTGGACCTTTTCTAATTGCTCCAATCCCTTTTTGTTAACCCTTCCCGAAAAGCTGTCTATTTTACTCCCTGGAACCTCTTCCTTTTCACCCGCTGTTCTTTAACCCCTCAACCTCAACCATTTTTTAAAACATACCTTTTTCTCCAGATAGCGAGAGCTATTGGGGTTCCTACTTCAAGTATAAGCAGAGGTGCCTGTGTGCGCTTTGGAGCTTGGGTGCTGGTGCTGCTGCAGGGTGCCGCTGCCAGATGTGTGGCCGTGTGCGCTTTGGAGCTTGGGCGCTGGTGCCGCTGCTGGGTGCCGCCCAAGGTGCTGCTGCGATGTGTATTTGGCCGTGTGTGCTTTGGAGCCTGGGTGCTGGCGCCGTTGGAGGGCGCTGCAGAGCCCGCAAAAGTCCTTTCGCTAGCTGGGCTCCATTAGGCCCATTAGGCGTAAATTTCAACACCGCTGCCCCGGATGCGACCCGCCGTCTTCCACCTTGGAGCTCAATGCTTGAAGCCATAGCCTTGCATCTCACACAACAAAGCCACTGCACTGCGCACCCCTGCTTTATCACCTTAAAGCCTTATCATGTTCCACGTGTTTCTTCTCACCTCCCAGCCCATATTTAACTTTGTTTGAAAGCCGGCCTTGTTTTAACCACACACTTTGCTTTAATCCCCAAGCCTCTTTTGACCACCAGCCTTCCGACCTTGTGCTTAAACTCCGCAAACTTTTCGGAGGGCGCAGCGTCTCTGCCCGCATGTTTGTTCTTCTTGCTGCACCACGCCTCAACAAACCCCCGCGCATGACGCGGCAATATGGTAAAGCGGGTGGGGGGTGCAGGGGGAGGGTGCAGCGCCTCCCCTCGCTCTGCCGTGGCTTGTTCTTTTTCTTACTGCAACATGCTTCACCCATCCCCCTGTCATTGGCTTCCCTACAGGACTCGGGGGGGTTAAAAACAAGTGTTGGGAGGTGACAAAAATGTAGAGGCTAAAAAAAGAGTGGTCGGAGGTCTTAGAACATGGTTCCCCAATTTTTGAGAGATGGTGCCTTGTGCCACACCGACTTGGCGCTCAGCTAAGCTTCGGTCGCTTCGGTCGGTGATGTCAGTTCGCCAGGACCTCAGCTCGCCTGCATCCAGTCCCAGTGCCACCAGTCCATGCCATGAGGCCACCGAGGGAGCAGGGCGACAGCGAGCGGCTCGTGAGGTCAAAAAAGTGTCATAGAAACCGTTTCTGCACAGCTGATGAACGTGCTCATGAAATAGTCATAAGTGGCGAGAAGTGGCGAGAAGTTACAGTTGATTTTCATGTTTGTTGGGAAATGGACTGTTCGACATTCCTGATAGGAAGAGGACAACGTTTCGGACGAGTCCGCTGAGGAGGCCAATTCGGATCTTTGGGATCCGACAAGACATGACCAAACGGTTCAAGCACCAGGGTGAACGCCGAGGAGTGGTTGATATATATATATATATATCGAAGCTAATCTCAAAAAGGGCAGTCATGATCTGTCATGGCCGGAAGTTCTTCCAAGATGTTTCTGTGGAACTTGAGGGAAGTGATCACCCTTGCAAACACCGTTAAATAATCCATATTGCTTCAGTTTCTTGTCCAGTCTTTTGGAAGGAATCCCTGGAGGGCACATGAGACCCCTGGCAGGACCCGGCACTCAAGCTTTTCGGTGCTTCCTTTTGTGATGCAGGCGCCAATCAAAAAGAAGAGATCCCTTCGCAGCACCAACACTGCCGGCTCCATTGCGTTGCTTGGCGCGGACGGTCTGACACGTTGGAAGCGAGCCACACTACGAATGGTGGATCTATGCGAGGACGTGGGGTGGATTTGGAAGACCCATTTGGCGAAGAAGTGCTTCCCAAATTGGAGAGAAGATGATCATAGATGATAGAATAATTTTAGACACGCCATGCCAATAAATGCGCCTACATTGAGGTGGTTTCAGATGGTTTCTGGATGTTTCAGGGGTCAATTTGTTTAACTCCCCTGCACAAAGTAACATGGAACCCCAGAACCACTGGGTTGTAGAGGAAATGGTCCAAACCACCGGTCAATTCTCAGGTTCCATGGTTCCATTCGTGGCAGGGTCTCCTGGAATGATCCGAACGGCGAAGCGATCGATGTGGGCCAAAGGTCTGGGCCCGGGCCGCCACGCCTCTACAAGCCACCGACATGGATGAGGAGGCACAACGCTTGTAGGGGCTTCTTGTTTCTAATAGCTTCTTGTTCCTAGTAAGGCCAGGAGCCCCGTTCGTAGCGTCCTTGCTCCTAGTAGCGATGCCCTTTCCTCCTAGTAGCTTCTTGCTCCTAGCCAAGCGAAATTTCAATGGGCCAAATGGCCCGGATTGTCACTTCGACCGAACTGCATCACGATCATCACGTGAGCCACCGCCCTTGAGGCCCTTCGGATGCAATGCATACTCAAAGTATCTCAAAGTACTTTGGTACCGAGAATTTTCCGGAAAAACGGTCGATAAAGG